GTTTCTAAAGCCTGTATTATCTATGCACAGTTAAATCTATGACTCTGAATTATGCAAACGAAAGTAAATAGCAGTTGCACATTTCAAAATTACATTCATCAAACAATAAAAACCAGGGGCTCGTAGCTTCAGCAGTAGTGTACATTTGTCCCCATTTTCAAGACAAAATTTAAATCCTTCGTCCAGTCTGAGTAAACCTCCATGTAGCAGAAACAATCACTACTAGTCTACTAGAATGCTTGATGAAAGTCAAGTTTCCCGTGTGACATATGATGTGTCCAAAAATTAAGTGGAAACAGATGTAGAAATGCATACCATGCTTTTTAATAAGAAAATCAAAATAGAAAGTCCATTACTAAAATAAATTGTGTCTCGAAATTGTGGTAGAAGCTGACTCACAATTATCAGACAAAAGATCTTTCTTTATTATGTTGTTAGCAATGTGATATTCACACCTAGACAGGTCATAACTTTGCTACTTAGGTATATTATGTTTGTGCTGATTTTGCTTATTTGTGTTCCTCCTGCTTTGCTTGGTATATCCAGGAAACATCCGATCATTTACTCTACCCTAACCCTGGTTCGGGAATGATTCATGAACAGCATCTCCAATTTTTTCACTTTCTTGGGGTTCTTCTTGCAAAGGTATAAAAAATTTTGTCTACTGTTTTAGTTCGTATGATGCTTCTGCATGGTATCACATGTTCGATTCCTTACAGGCCATGTTTGAGGGGATTCTTGTAGATATACCATTTGCAACGTTTTTTCTGAGCAAATTAAAACAAAAGTAAGTGCATGTTTTCTCTTGAGAAAATCTTGTTGATATACCATTTGCAACATGCTGCAATGTTAATACTAGAAATCTCTTTCTGTTTGTTGATTAGGTACAACTATTTAAATGATTTGCCTTCATTGGACCCAGAGTTGTACCGTCACCTTATTTTCTTGAAGGTAACCCAGTTCTTTCTAAATATGCCTCCTGATATATTGTAGCATCTACCGATTACTCAGGTTTATTTTGACACGATTCTAAGAAAAAGACTACACAACCCAACATCTTGATGCGAATACTCAGTTTAAAGAAATTAAGTAAAATACTAAACTCATATCTGACTTCTGTTGCTGTATGCAGTCTATTGATGTATGGTTATAAATTTTAACGTAGTCGATGGAATTTCACAAAAATGCACCAAACTTTATTGTGACCTTGGTATAAAGTTCTCTGATATTCAATTTATGTATACAAAAACACTTTCTAATCTTTATATTTGTACAATATACTGTTGGATTTAGAAATAGATTTGTCCTATGGAATGGATATTTGTTTTAGGAATCCAGTTGCATGAATTGCAAATTTGTATTTAGTTATGTCAATTTTCACAGTACCTGTTGATTATAAATTTTTATTTTTCACAACTAAATTTCACGTTCCAGACTTTGACGAAATTTATTCTTAGTCTACATTTTATTGGATTGGATACTATAATCATGCTTGATGAAAAGCAGTTGGTTCAATCACTATCTCTCATCTGCAATTTGGATTAAAGTGTGGCTCCTGTTTAGTTGCATGTAGAGCTCACTGCGTCCTGTTTGCCATTATATCTGCAGCATTATAAAGGTGATATTTCAGAATTAGAATTGTACTTTGTCATTGTAAATAATGAATATGGAGAGCAAACAGAAGAGGAGCTGCGTCCCAGGGGCAAAAACCTACGTGTCACTAATGAGAACGTCATTTCCTTTATTCATCTTGTTGCCAACCATCGTTTGAACTTTCAGGTAGTGCAACTCCATTTTGAACTTTTTCTTGTTCCAAATGACGTTGTAGCTTCCTCACGTGAACATGACAAATGATCATTTTCAGATACATCAACAAAGTTTACATTTTTTAAGGGGGTTTCAGCAGCTTATACCGAAAGATTGGATAGATATGTTTAATGAGCATGAACTTCAGGTATATTCGTCTACCCTTTGGCTTTGTTGCTAAAATAACCTGAGTATACTCACTTCTTGTTTGCCGGTTCTATAAGATCAATAAACTAAAACAAGCTTAGTCATTCTGTCCAATTTGACAATATAGTTGTGATGCCATTATTGCATTTAAGAGTTGCTAGTGATGCTACGAATGGTTATTTTGAGGTTTTTGCATATATGTATCATGTGTGCTATTTTTTGTTATGCTGTCTCGGTATTGGAACACTAAAATTGTTCTGAAGAAATAGCCATTATGCTGTACAAGAGTACTGCCATGGCAATGCGGGATGTTGTATGTGGCAATGGCATGCTCGGCACAACTTTAGAGTTTCTATTGGGTGGAACCTAGAGTCAGATCCACATTGTTTCTCCTAGTTACAGTCTGAATAAAAATTTGTATTAGGAAGCAAAAGTTTAATCATAATCCATTGGTTGATAAGCGGCTGTAGCTGTAATATACACTTTGACACGCTTTTTCCACATTCACAGGCAATTATGCATAAATACCTTTTTGACCCGCCTTGTTTTTACAGCTTCTGATATCAGGTTCACTTGACAGCTTGGATGTCGATGATCTACGGATGAACACAAATTATGTGGGTGGCTATCATAGTGTAAGTTCCTTCGCATTTGTTTTGGCTTATTTGTATTCGTGTGGGACATATAAAACTGTTTGTGTGGATAAATGTAGCTCTAGATGAACCCAGTCATTGGTTGTCAACCATTTTCATTACATTTTCCCGTGACTGATTATGCTTGTTATTTGTTTTGACAGGAGCATTATGTCATTGACATGTTCTGGGAAGTTCTGAAAAGTTTTTCATTGGAAAACCAGAAGAAATTTCTAAAGTGAGTTTTTAGTATCCATCACAAAATCCCTCGAACATTTTTTGTGTTTTGGCTCGTCAAAATACAACAATGTCGGCTATTGCGAGTCCCTGTAATTAATTGGATTTGAAGTTAATGAACATCAGGAGAGATACTGACTACACTACTTTTCATCCAGATTTGTGACCGGGTGCTCTCGGGGACCTCTGCTTGGATTCAAATACTTGGAACCATTATTTTGCATACAGAGGTAAGAGCTCATGAAAGATTTATATGTTGGCAAAATGGCTGAAAGTTTATTTTACAAAAAATTTTCTTTTTCTCTTGGTATTTTTTTTACCTTAATTTTTCTGCCTCTTTCCATAGGGCTGGTGGCAATGCAGCTGAAGGAGCTCTTGACCGATTACCGACTGCAGCCACTTGTATGAATCTCCTAAAGCTTCCACCATATAGAAGGTTGGCTATCTCTCTATATTTTTTGGTTTTATGATTATATAAGCCATTAAATGTATTCGGCTGAAATTGCTTCCTGGTTATGATGCAGTAAGGAGCAACTGGAATCAAAATTGATGTATGCTATAAGTGCAGATGCCGGCTTTGATTTGAGCTGATTGAAACCGTGCATTCTAGTTGCACCTAATCTAATCCCCTGCTTCTTTCTTCTCTGGAGCAAACCATCCTCGAGGCGGAGACAGTTTACATCATGCGCTGTTAATTTGATGTCCCTGCTTGGAATCCGAGCTGTGTAATAATCGAACAGACTTCAAAAAGCCGATAGAGTGAAGCTCAAACTTGATGGCATGTAGATATTCATATTTTCCGGCAAGCTCCTGATTTGACATGTATATATCTGTGGGGTGGTGGTCTGCCGAAGTTCTTGCTACAGCTTTGTTAAGTTTACAGATTATATATGCAAGCCTTGGGTCAGTCGCTAGTGGCTTTCCCCGGCATAAATAGGCGATTGTTTTTATAACTGTAACGTTCCTATTTTGTTTTATATATTTCTGTAAAGGAGAAGGGGCAGATTATATAAATAGTAAGTGCTTTTAATTCCTCCTGTTGAACAAGTCATCTGCAGAAATAATTATGGGCTTGTTTGGAAGTGCTTTTAAAATGATTGAAAGCGTTTTTTGAAAAATTGTTTCTGAGTTTTAAAAGCACTTTAAGTTTTTTTTTGGAAAAAACACCAGATATGTTTCTTGCAGAAAACACTTGAAGTGTTTTTTCAGGATCTATTTGAATTTTTACTAAAGATTGGTTTTAAAAACATTTTCATCAAAAGCGCTCTCAATCATCTTAAAAACGCCTTATAAGTCTCATGTCAAAATACACGAGACTCTTCTCAGAGATGTGCATAGTTCTGATTTCTCCTGCCCTCTGTTGATGCTTTATTTTTTCTCTGTTTGGTGCTTACACGCTGATACTTCAAAACGAGTTCGTGGTTCGCTTTGCAAATGGGCGTGTATATCAAATGAGAATGCGGGTTCCATATCATTATATTAACCTAAATGGCGCAAGAGTGTCTACATAAATGCAGGCTTTTATGGAAACCAAAACTCAGGTACGAGAGAATAAGGATCATTCTCATTCTTATTTATGTCATATCATGCGTTCACTTACAATCAGAAAATGAAAAAGTAAGTGAACCTTGTATTGGTTTTGGGTATGATAAACCTAAAACATCAAGTACACGATAGGCGGACTGGTTGCTGAAGGTTGTTCATCACATGCTTTACGTCCCCATTTTTTCTATACCGGTTCATGATTCCTCCAATTTCAAGTAAACCTGCTGTTAAAAAAAAAAAATAAAAAAAAAATCCTACTTGTATCATATCACTATACCAAGTAGAGAAATGTTAAACAGACTCTCTCAAAAGTGGGATTCTCCATGAACTCTTTGTCACCTTATATTTTTGGCACAATGTTTTATAATGTTGACATAAGAATTGACGTTAAATTGTGAAGTGACAGAGAATCTACAAAGTGTGCTGTGTACCAAGTAAAGGAAAAACATGCCCAACGCGCGCGACCAGTAAACTAGAAGTTATATAATTCCCGCTTCATGGTGTGATAATTGGGTAAAAGCCCTCTGTCGTTCGCCATTTGTTTGTCGCATAGAATTGTAGAAAGAGAAGAAAGGCTCCTTCGGCTTTGCACAGAACGCTAATAACGCCGCCGCCGATCACGCAATACAACACCCAGAGACAGAGGAGGAGCCTCATCGGCGAAGATGGTGAAGGTCCGGATGAACACCGCCGATGTCGCCGCCGAGGTCAAGTGCTTGCGGCGGCTCATCGGCATGCGCTGCTCCAACGTCTACGATCTCTCCCCCAAGGTCTCTTCTCTCTCTCTCTCTCTCTCTCTCTCTTTCTCCCCTCCATTCTCTCCTTCTTCTCCCTTTAATCAATCAAATTCGCATTCCTATGATTCTCAAATGTGTTGTGAAATTGGGTTTTCTGCAGACGTATATGTTGAAGCTCATGAATAGCAGTGGAGTCACAGAGTCCGGCGAGAGCGAGAAGGTTTTTCTATTGATTGAGAGTGGCGTCAGATTGCATACGACTCAATACGTTCGGTATGCCTATCAGTTATTGCATTCCATTGAAATTTGCAGATAATGGGTAAAAGGATTTCTTTTTTTCTGCAATTTGTGCAGGGATAAGAGTAATACTCCATCTGGGTTTACCTTAAAATTGAGGAAGCACATACGAACACGAAGGCTCGAGGATGTACGGCAGCTTGGATATGATAGGGTACAAGATATATGACATTTCTGCAAATTGGGTTCTTTTTTTCATTTTTGGCTTTTTTTTTACTGTTTAGTTTCTGGATTTTGTCTAACTTTTGTGGTCTCCTTTGCAGATTGTTCTCTTTCAATTTGGGCTCGGTGAAAATGCGTACTATGTTATATTGGAGCTTTATGCCCAGGGAAATGTTATTCTCGCAGATTCGGATTTTATGGTCATGACCCTTCTTCGCTCCCATAGGTTAGTGAGTAGCATCCATTTCTTATGAAATTGCTAATTATTGGGCTCACTTTCTTGCACATCAACTTGGCATGTTATGAATAAAAAGTTTTCCAGTTCTTGCTTAATTATAGATGTGCTACTATTTGTGTTAGCATTTGTAGCTTTAAGATTTTGCTAGAAACATCTTTGCTAGCTTCTGATTGTTCTTACTGTTCAGTAAGAGAGCACACTCATTTCTGATTCTTTTGTTTTCTTTCTCTTAAGTTGAAATATTAATTAGGTGGTAATTCTCATTTAATAGGGATGACGATAAGGGGGTTGCAATCATGTCACGTCATCGTTATCCAATTGAAATATGTCGAGTTTTTGAGCGAACAACTGCTGAAAAGTTACAGGAAGCTCTTACCTTGTCCAAGGAACCAGATAACAATGAACCCGTTAAGGATCATGAAGGTGGAAATAATGTGCCTGATGCACCAAAAGAGAAAAAGGGTAAAAGTAAAGGTGGGAAGCCTGCCGAGTCAAGTAAAAGTAGCGGTGATACTAAAGCCAAACAGGCCACCTTGAAGAATGTTCTTGGGGATGCGTTGGGCTATGGACCTGCGCTATCTGAGCATATTATATTAGATGCTGGCCTCATTCCAAATACAAAAGTTTCTAAAGAGAACAAGTTAGACGATAATGCAATTCAGCTTTTGGTTGAAGCTGTTGCGAAGTTTGAGGATTGGCTGCATGATGTCATTTCAGGTGATAAAATTCCTGAAGGGTACATTTTAATGCAGAAGAATTCAGGGAAAAGTGGTCCCCCATCTGAACCAGGGAGTTCTGTCCAGGTTAGCACACTGCCTTAACTTGCTTTAGACTAGTGTGTAATTTCCCTTTTTTCTTGCCTTGGTTGATGGAGATCTGCCTAGTTAGGATTCCATTACATGGTGTTTTAAACTTTAACATTGACTTCTACATCTATTTTGCAGATATATGATGAATTCTGCCCCATATTATTGAACCAATTCAAATCGAGGGAGCATGTGGAGTTTGAAACATTTGATGCTTCTTTGGATGAGTTCTATAGCAAAATTGAGAGTCAAAGGGCAGAACAACAGCAAAAGGCAAAAGAGAGCTCTGCCACCCAGAAGCTTAATAAAATACGTGTTGATCAGGTTTGCCCTGTTTCTTCTACTATGTTATTTGAAATTCAAAGGCAGGTTTGAGCAGATTTTTTCTGCGTTATGACTTAGGTTGAACCGAAATTCCATGTACCCCGTCCCCCTTTGTAGGGGGATGGGTAGAGGGGTCAGGGGTTCCGAAATATTAATGTTTATATATATACTTGGTTTACGTTCTGCAATCTATGTTGTTGGACCATATGTGCTATTTATGCTTGGAATATTTTTTCTCAATCATTTCAACCCTATGATATAGGAAAATCGTGTTCACATGCTAAGGAAAGAAGTTGATCAGTGTGTTAAAATGGCGGAATTGATAGAATATAATTTAGTTGATGTGGATGCTGCTATAGTAGCTGTTCGTGTAGCTTTAGCAAAGGGCACAAGTTGGGAGGATATTGCTAGAATGGTGAAGGAGGAGAAGAAATATGGAAACCCTGTTGCTAGCCTCATTGACAAGCTTCAGCTTGAAAAGAATTGCATGACATTGCTGCTGAGCAACAATCTTGATGAAATGGATGATGATGAGAAGACTCTCCCTGCAGATAAGGTTTGTTTGAATGTTCTATTTTTCTACATCTTCTCTAGAATAAAATGATGAGTCTCTTCATCTTACCTTCTACTTCCATTACCTTTCTTCCCTATTATAGGTGGAAGTTGATTTAGCACTTTCAGCACATGCCAATGCTCGGCGGTGGTATGAACTAAAGAAAAAACAGGAGAGCAAACAGGAGAAGACTGTAACAGCACATGAAAAAGCATTTAAGGCGGCGGAGAAAAAGACTCGTCTCCAGCTGTCACAGGTAGCTTCAGCTTCCAGAGTCTTATGATTTAGTTTTAAATGGCGAGCTTGCAAATATAAAATGCAAATCAGTTGTTTTAGCCTTTTCGCACAACCAAGTTTTTCTGATGGTATTCATCCAACTGCTAAGTAGAAGCTGTAGCATGTTTAGCACAACAGAATTTTCAAGGCACGGTGTCATAAATATAAGGACAGAATAATAGGGATTCAGAAAATATATAGTGTGACAAGAGCAGTATGTCAACATCAATGCGACCGAAACATGAAGCATATATTCGTAGACGTATAAAAGTATGCATACAAGGAAAAACAGAATTATTTATAAGAGGAGAAGCATACTTAGCTGTAGATTTTTGTCACCATTATCCAATATAATCTTAGAAGATAGCTGTCTTCGATTTTTTAATTCCACTTTGTTTCAAATAACTTGCAGGAAAAAGCTGTTGCTAGCATTTCACATATGCGCAAGGTTCACTGGTTTGAGAAATTTAACTGGTTCATCAGCAGTGAGAACTATTTGATTATCAGTGGACGTGATGCTCAACAAAACGAGATGATAGTCAAGCGCTATATGTCAAAAGGAGATCTGTAAGTCAATGTAGTTATGTGGACATAATACATTTTAGTTCTTGTCTAAATGATCTAGCACTGCGAAACAATAATTATAGATTTAAATAATACACTTACTGTGATTTATGATTATTTATGATTGTTCTTATAGTGTGTGGGAAAATTCTTCCTGAAGCTTATATCCATCATTTAGTTTTGTTTTGTCTTACAATTTTGTATGTCCTTTGCATTGGTCACCGGAAGTGTCTGCATGTTTCTTGTCTATGGCTGCCTCCTCAGAAACTCCTCTGCTATTGGCGATTGATAATTCTTGTTCCCTTTCTATATAAGTTTCTTTTATTAAATTTTATTTTTTATTTTTTTATAAGTTCTTGTTTCTTTTTATTTGGATTTCTATTCTTTTTTTCCTTATCCAGTGACTTTGGACTTTCTTCTTTTTATCCTCCCTTGATTTTTTCGCCCTTTTGTGATTTCACATCTTCATACTACTCCAAGAGAAACGAAAGGAAATAAGCTTATAAATGGAGCTGACAAAATTTATTATTGCCACATTGATAGGAGATAGGAATTCTTGGTTGGTCAATTTCACATTTCCAAGAATCTTTAGTTTACCTTAAAGTTATTACAAATATGCCAATAAGTAGCTGCTTATTTCATTTAGTGTGAAGCCAACTTAGCATCTTCTTTCTCATGTTGATTGATTTAAAAAAAAAAAAAAAACAGGTATGTCCATGCGGAGTTGCATGGGGCTTCCAGCACCGTGATAAAGAACCATAGGCCTGACCAACCAGTGCCTCCACTTACATTAAACCAAGCAGGGTGCTTCACAGTAAGTCACAGACCTTCATGTAATGCTTTTGTTTTCATATTAGTTTATTGTGTTATTGCGAGTGCTTCATATCACTGGATGTGTAATTACTGAATAGTTAACTGATATTATGCTCTAGGTTTGCCACAGCGCAGCATGGGATTCAAAGATTGTCACTAGTGCGTGGTGGGTTCATCCTCACCAGGTCAGTAAAACTGCTCCTACTGGGGAGTATCTGACAGTTGGAAGTTTTATGATTCGTGGGAAGAAGAATTTTCTTCCTCCACACCCTCTAATTATGGGCTTTGGGTTGTTATTTCGCTTGGACGAGAGCTCATTGGGCTCCCATCTGAATGAGAGGAGGGTAAGAGGTGAGGAGGAAGGGACGAATGATGTTGATGAAAATGGACCTCTAGAAGAGGTATCTGATTCTGAGTCAGAGAATGAAACCATAGAGGAAAAACTTGCAGAAGAACCAAAACCCGCTCCTGATTCATCTATACATATTGATAAACCAGATGTGAAAGACCCATCTGGGAATGGCTTACTTACAAGCAATGCTGAAGCAAAAGACTCAGCTGAAATTCCCATGAAAGAAAAGAAGACCTTTAGTGATGCTGATATTTCTGTAAATGGTGTTTCATCTGTCACCCCAGAACTTGAGGATCTCATTGATAGAGCTCTTGGGCTTGGATCTACAGCTATGTCTGCTAAAAAATATCAGATTGACACTTCTCCAGTTGATTTGGTAGCGGAACCTAATGTTGAGGAGAATAAGGCTACAGGAAGAGAGAAACCTCATATTTCAAAAGCTGAAAGAAGAAAGCTCAAGAAAGGCCAGACTGGTAGTGCTCATGAAGAACAAGCTGATCTGCAAAATGAAAAATTGAAGCAACATGAGATTTCAGTCAGTCAGCCTGAAAAGGAAGTTCATGAGAAGAAGCCTAGTGGTGGAAAAACCAGCCAATCAAAACAACACAATATTTCTGCCAGACAGACCGAAAACGAAGTTCATGATAAGAAGCCAAGTAGTGGAAAAGCCAGCCGTGGACAAAAGGGTAAACTCAAGAAGATGAAGGAGAAGTATGCTGATCAGGATGAGGAAGAAAGAAGGATCCGTATGGCTTTGCTAGCTGTGAGTAAAGTTACTTGCACCATTCTTATATTTATAACCAATTGATTTTCTGTAGCCCTTATTTCATCTTTTCTAAATTTGAGCTTTGATGCCTCTTACACTTGATGCATAATTTCGTGCTTTTTCGTCCACATGCATCCGCATCTTTGCATGTGCACTAGTTATAGAACTTTCATTCTATTATTTTCTCACAAATGAACTGCAAACGTATAACTGTGTCCATAACATCATCCTTAAGAATCTTCCTATGATTTTTTTGAAGTTACACCATTTTTTTGCTCAAGAAACCTGATAATAGATCTAAATGACGATATTTGTGAATTTCAGTCTGCTGGAAGAGTACAGAAGAGTGGAGAGTCCCAAAATGAAAATTCAGTTCTGGCTGAAGATAAGAAACTGAGTATGTCATCCTCATTCTTCATATTTCATCAGCGTTTTAAACTTCCAAGGCCATAGGCCATCTTTGCTGGTTATTTCTCTCTAGTATCATATAATGGAAGTCCATTGTTTTTTTTGTGGTTAACGTCAATTCTTATTAATCTAGCAGGTCCTGTCGATGCTCCCAAAATATGTTATAAATGTAAAAAGGTAGGTCATCTGTCCCGGGATTGTCCAGAACATCAAGATGGTACGTTACATAGTCATGCAAATGGTGGAGTTGAAGATGACCCTCCTGTGGGTTTGGATAAATCTACTTCTGAAGTTGACAAGGTGACAATGGAGGAGGATGATATTCATGAGATAGGTGAAGAGGAGAAGGAGAAATTAAACGATGTTGATTACTTGACGGGCAATCCACTGCCCAGTGATATTCTCTTATATGCAGTGCCTGTCTGTGGTCCTTATAGCTCCGTCCAGTCTTATAAATATCATGTGAAGATAGTTCCTGGCTCTGTGAAGAGGGGGAAAGGTAAAGAATTTCTCGCATGAATTTGTCCGCTAACTTTTAAAGTACCCGCAATGCTAGGATAGAAAATTATCTTCTCGTTTCCCTTACGTGCGTTTTTTTTTGGTTCAAGTGCTTTTATCGCATCGGTTGACCTCTTTCTTGAATTCTTTTTTGTAGCTGCGAAGACTGCCATGAATTTGTTTAGCCACAGGCCGGAAGCAACGGTTAGAGAGAAAGAGTTGATGAAAGCATGTACTGATCCTGAGTTGGTTGCTGCAATTATCGGCAATGTGAAGATAACATCTGCAGGCCTCACTCAGTTGAAGCAGAAGCAAAAGAAAGTCAAGAAGAGCAGCAGCAAAGCTAAGTAGGTAGCCTAAACAGCTTCGTGCTGCGTCAACGTTTTGTAAACACAGACAACACTCGTTTCCTCTGTTTGGACCCGTCTCGGATTGTTACGCCAGTATACTCTCTACTATACAAAAGCAGAATAATGATTCCATTTTCCATAGCTAGCTATATGTATAAACAGTTTTGTTAAAGCAATGTAATTGTGTATTAGCATTACAGGCAGTCTGGGGCATGAGCTTTTACAAACAATTTCTACAAGAAAATCAAAGCGGGACAAACCCCGAAAATGCTGAGGAACATTTACGTCTCAGTCAGCCACTTCAGCCGGGAGAACGTTCCTCAAATCTAAACCCTCGACTGGCAAGTCCGAAGTGAGAGGACCCAAGATTCCGTCGGAGGTGAGGGTTAAAACACTTCCTCAGCCAGTCACTTCAGCTGGGGGAATGTCGCTCAAATCTAAACCCTCGGCTGGCAAGTCCGAAGTGAGAGGACCCAAGATTCCGTCGGAGCTGAGGGTTAACCCACTCTGCAAAATTAAGGAAAAAAGCGTACGGTTAAGTTAACAAACATGCCAATAGCCCTAAAAGCTGATTCTAGTACATTCAACTCTGGTTTCCTAGTCTGCTTTTTCCATTTGGCATTCGGAGCAAGTTTAATGAAATAATAAATCAGCAAGCACCTCCGGCTGGAAACGGAGCATGTCCGCACGAGCCATAGCTTCCGCTTGAGCAATTCTCTGCCGGAATGTCTGTGCCATCTCCTCCGCCTAATAGAACAGAATAAAAAACATACATATAAGTCATTTATCTGGTTTCAGGAAAGGTAACAAGGACATAACAGGAGAAAACACAAGAAGGAAGGCAGATTGACCTTCACTCCTACAACTTAGTATTCGCCATTCGGTTAGTGAAACTAGTAAAGATGTTAAGAGGTAATTGTACAGAAAATACCTTCTCAAATACAAGCTTTGGATTGCGAATCATGTCACCGGGAGTAGGTTCTAACTTCTTGGTAGAAAGACTTACACGGCCTCTCTCACGGTCATGGCTCAATATCATGACCTACAAAAAGAGTATAAATTTAGAAATTTTTTAACAGTGGCAAAAGACTATCAGCCAATAACTTGCCAAGGATATAGTATCTATACCTTGAGAGTGTCACCAGGTTGGAGAACTGTCGCAATATCAGAGACTCGGTCATGACTGATCTGACTAACATGAAGAAGGCCATTGATTCCACCAATGTCGATAAAGGCACCATATGGCTTCAAGCTCTGAACAGTACCAAGGACAACTGACCCAATTCCAAGCTGTGCTTGGTTGTCTGCCATGGCCTTGCGGTTACTGAGGACAAGCCTAGACTGTTCTTCATCAACCTCCACAAACTTCAGAGGAATCTCCTTTTCAAGAAGATCTTCTGCAGTTGATTTCTAATATATAAAAGTAAATGTGGTTCAGATACTGAAGCATTTAGTGTTAACAGTAATTCGAACTCAGAACTATGCCAGTGACAGTGCTGAATGCCGAATAGAAAAGAATTTTGGAAGGAAGAAGCATAATGTTATGGAACTGCCTGTTTAATTCATGGACTACCACACAAGCAAATGCAATCAGAAAGATGGCATAAGTATCAGCTAAGAAGAGAATTGGAAATCTAGAAGTGAGGTTAAAGGACTAACTGTTGATATCTGGGAGAAAGGAACAAAACCTCTAAGGCCTTCCACCACGGCCACCACTCCACCTTTATTCGCACCAACGACCTGAACAAATACATTTTAGAGCGCTATTTGTCTGAAAATTACAATCATATTCATGATGCTTGGAAATATATACCAATTCTAACATTCCAGGCAAGAAACCAAGGTAAGAAGATACTTACCTTACCCTTGACAACAACATCCTCAGCTTGGAGCTGTCTACATCTTTCCCATGATAGGTCATACTGGATGGACTTTAAGCTCAAGATCAAGCTATCGTCAGCTTCGTTTTCACCAATAATCACAAACTCCTCTCTCACTCCGGGAACTATGCCCACTTCTTCTACACTCTTTATTTTGTGAATGCATGCCTCTTCAAGAGGCAAGTATGCTGAAGATTTTGCAGTAATGTCAACTAATGCTCCATTGTTATCTATATTGAAAACTGTTCCCCTCACCTGAAAAAACAACCACAAAACAAAGCCGTGTGCGCAAATTTAAAATCTCCCGCAGGATAACAAAGAAACTACATATGCTGTAAACAGTTACAGGTACTCTCTGTAAACCTATATGACAAGTGAAAAAAATGAATTGAAGAAAAGCTCAAAACCAAAAAATCCACAGGCATTGCCCATGTAAACTTACATAACCACCAACAAAGTAGTGCCATTTCCAACACTTTATGCAATTGTAGATTCTACACATAAAAGAAGAACAAATAGTTCTGCCGGGTATGTTTAATGTGAGCCCAATGACACAGACCCAAATCTCGAATTCGATACAAAAAGACATATAATTTCTTCGTTTCAGCTCATACACATCAAACCATTTTCACATTTAATCAAAAGGGTTAAAAAAAAGAACCAAATTTGAATTACCAAAAGGAGAGGTTGAGAGATAGACCTTAGTTCCAATCTCAGAATTGAAGTCGTACTTCTCGAGAGCGTTGTAAAAGGAGTCGAGAGTGAAAGAGACGCCTTCCATGGGGGCAGTACGACACCGTTCGTGAGCATCCTCGAAGATTTCCTTGAGCTTGAGGCGCTCTTTGGTCTGTGCATTCGAGATGACCGCGGCGGAGACGATGGGGAGCAAACCCGGCATTTTGTTTTTCTTCGGCAGGATTGAGGGCTTCGAAAGCCTCGAGGTGGAGATCGGTGAGCATCTTAAGCCTGTGAATTGCTGAGCCAGAGACGCCATGGCTCTCTCTCTCTCCCTGTTCTTTTGTGTTGCTTTGCTCGCAGTGTGGCTTTTCAGGAAGTTGAAATTTTTTTTGGTTTTGCTGATAAGGCACTGACGCGGGAGAGAGAGAGAGAGACAGAGAGAGTTGCATGGATTTTGGACAATGTGATTGTGTTGATGCTTATGGGTCATGGTGGAAGATCGGCCCATTTAATTGGATCTAGATCCTTACTAAATTTGGGCTGTCATGATCCACAAGGATAGTCAGGGCAACAAAGGAGAGACTTGATCGAAACTTCCGTGCACTATTACCATACCCTCCTGAACTAATAACATAATACTTTATTAGAGTCAAAACACATAATATTTATTATTGGCATGAATGTCACAATGGCGTTTAGAATGAGAGGAACTTGTTTAAAATAATTACACAATTACAGTGGCGTTTCGTACCAATAATACAATAATGCGTTAATTTTTTGCTATATATCTTTGCATCATTAACATAAGATATATTTTGTGGTGCACATGTCACACGTCATTCTCATAATGAACATCGTATATAAGTAACTTATTAGGCATGAGGCACCTGTGTGACTAACTGTTCATTATGAGAATGACGTATGACACGTGCACCATGAAATATATCTTATGTTAATGATGCAAAGATATATAGCAAAAAATTAACGCATCATTGTATTATTGGTACGAAACGCCACTGTAATTGTGTAATTATTTTAAACAAGTTCCTCTCATTAGGCATGAGGCACCTGTGTGAAAGAAGAATGAAGCCATAATATTCATACTCGTAACAAATATACAAACAAATATATAAAAGCTGACATTGACTGTCAAGCAGCACCAGTGGTCTAGTGGTAGAATAGTACCCTGCCACGGTACAGACCCGGGTTCGATTCCCGGCTGGTGCATTCTTTTTTGTCTTCCGTCAAAGTTCTTGCTCCCTCGATAACATTTTTGTTAAGGGAACGAAATCCAACAACAAAATTCAGAAAAATCTCAAAATTGTCTATTAAAAATCATCTTTTGAGTTACTTAGTAGTACGGTCAGATGATATTCCTCTTCACTTGGAAGTAAAAGGTCTTAGGCTTGAATCTCATAGATAGCAAATTCGATACCAAATTAGACTACCCATTACTAAAAAAAAACCATAATTCTCTTGATTACGTACAATAAAAACTTAATAACACATTAGGGAAATAATCAACAACATTATCTTGCTCCAATTATTATAAAAATGTCAAAATTGTCTATTAAAAACCATATCTTCTGAGTTTTGATACGCAAGAATTCTCTTTGATTACGTACAACACAAACTAATAAACTTAATAACACATTCAAATCCCGCTTTTCGTACGTTAAGATATTGCCAGTTTAATCTATTGTAAAAAAATAATCTGGCGTTCAATCAATCGGAGTACCTGTCCAGACTCAAACCAAGCGAAGCACTATTCTCCACGTATGGGTTATATAGTTTTCATCAGCACTGACCGACCACCTGAAAAAGAAAAAGAACAAAGAAAAACCCTAATTCAAAGGCTAAAATCCTTTCCATCTCCGTCGACCTTGTAGTTTGTAGAGAGCTGCCCACCTCTTCCAGAAAAGTTGCTTTACAAGTATTCGGGCAGATTCCCACTATTTCATGCCACCTTTTACACTTGTTTGCAGATTACTAAAACAAGAATATCCATGTCTTAGCTAGTTAGAACTGGTAGGAATCAAAGAATAAAAAGGTAGGAATCAAAGAATAAAAAATGAGCGCGACGTTTCGGAAAGTTTTCACCCTGCAATTTTGTAATAAACTTTGGATTATCGATTAGGTTATTCAAACTGCATGCAGAGTTTGAAACTGGATTATTTTGGTTTTAATATTTAAACTTAACTGTTTAGTTACTAATCTTTGTACCATAAGCTTCATTGGCTAATCAGATCCCTCTCACCCCACTAATACTAAACCCTTCTGCAGATAAAAAGTTAACACAATCCTAGTTAACAACTTGCTCCATTAAACTTATAAATTATAATATTATGGTGTTTCAACCGTGTGGAACAATTTGTTCTTCAAAAACAAAACTCCAAAAAATATGCTCGATCCAAGTATCTTTGTCTTTGCTTTCATCATGTTTTTTGCTGCTTTCATTTGTTGTATTTGTAAATGACAAGATTAGATTCTTTACCAAATCGAATGGAAAGAAACCCTCTAGGAAATGCGAATATATATTTTCCCCTTACGAATTGATGGAGTATAAACTATAAACTTTTATGGGAAGCAGAACAATTCAAGAGAAAATGATACTTGTATATTCAAATTAGTTGTATGGTAAATATGAATGTTCAAGCACACACCACTAAAAGTAACTTGATAATATAAGATAATATAGTGGTTTGTGTGGTATTAAGTTATATAACGGTTTGTGCTTGAAGGTAACACAAACTAAAATGTAACAACTCAAATAATTAAAAGATATATTAAAATATGACTCATTCTATAGGAAGTTTGAACTCATTTTCTTATTTATATATATACATATACAAGAAAATCAAACCTACAACTAGGTGTATAGACAAATATTTTTAACCATTTGAGTCATAATACATATATACGTTCTATATTTAATGGCTTTCAGTTAAAATTATGTTATCACCTTCCATAAGGGAGTGCAGTTAATTAAGAGTATGTTCTAAGGAACGAATTGTTGAGATCAAAATGGAAACTGAAACAAATTACACAGAATAATCTGAACTGTATCTTTCAAGAGCATCACATAGGACTAACTGAAATTGATTTGTGACATTTATTTATTTGGGATTTTAATGAATTTCCGAATTGAACATAAAATCTTTAAAATTTAGATCACTCAACATCCTAAATTGATCGAGGATCAGAAATATGATCGGGCTAGTTTAACTTCTCTCCAAAGAAAAGATAAAGGGAACAAAAAAGAATATACAAGATTGCACACGATTATATCCAATGAGACCAATGTTCTTTAGTATTACACATCCATTTTTACCTCCCACACACTCTTTTTAATTTTTCACCATTGATCATCTTCAATTCAATCGTCCGACGGTCGAAAATTGAGAGACGTGTCTGAGAAATAAAAATAGTGTTGTGAATAGCTCTACCCTATTCTTTTGATGACTAGTTTCAATCCGGTCTAACGAAAAGAGTGTCTCACACATACTGGAAACCTATCCTCAAACGAACAATCAACAACAATAAACCAACAAATTACAAACCCTCCTCGACTAATATATCCTAAATCAAATCCGGAGGTTCCTTAAACCACACAAACTCCTGAGAGCTACTAATACCCATCCTAGCAAGCCGATGTGCCACCTCATTTCCTTCCCGTTGAACATGTCTAACCGTCGAGTGCGGCGTTTCTGCAAGGAAGCATCTCAAGTCATTTACAATAGGGCCGTAGGAGGAAGAATCATCCCCCCGTCCCTTCATAGCAGCCATCACCAAACTCGCATTTCTTCCTAGATTTTCTTTCACAATAGTATTTAAACTAAAATATAACCCTATTCGACGTCGATAGTGACTTTCAGTACATATACATAGTAGATATATTATCATATCTCTGCCAAATATCAAATCATTAATATGTTGCGGGTTGCGGGTTGCGGGTTGCGGGTTGCGGGTTGAGTATTGAGCTCAAAGAGGAAAAATTAAGCCTTATAAACATAATATTTTATTTAGTGTTTATTATTACCATATTATTATGTCGTGTTATAAGTTTATGTGTTAGAAAATGAGTGCAAATAGTAAATTGTCTTAGAAGTTAGGGTTTTCTTTTTAACCTATTACACATGTCAATTTGTTCTTGCCACGTGTTGAAATTTTAAAAGATTGCAAAGAATCATTTTCTTCACTCAAAACTTTCCACCTCGTAATTTTTTTTTCCATATTCATGCCAACACACCCACAATCTTTTCATTCATCCTCTATATAAACTGATACCTACTACTTCTTCTCAACATCTAATTTTCTTGTTCTCTTCTTCTGATAATCTTCACAAATTTTCTGCAATCTCTTCCCCTACTTTTATCCAGAGATGTCCCCTGCAGAGACAAACGGTCCCACGAGGGCCTTTGTGACCTTCTTGGCTGGAAATGGAGACTATTGGAAAGGTGTGGTTGGCCTTGCCAAGGGCCTAAGGAAGGCCAAATCTGCATATCCTCTTGTGGTGGCTGTCCTGCCTGATGTTCCTGAGGACCACCTTCAGATTCTTCACTCTCAAGGATGCATTGTTCATGCAATTGACCCTGTCTACCCTCCTGAAAACCAAACCCAATTTGCCATGGCTTATTATGTCATCAATTACTCCAAGCTTCGTATTTGGGAGGTAATATTCTCTCATCAAATATATTGTCGATGCAGTTTAAGCATGTTAAACATATTGTCGGTGCTGTTTAAGCATGTTAAACATATTCTTGGTGTTGTTGGTGCAATTTAAACATGTTGTCGGTGCAATTTACACTGATTATCGATGCAGTTTAAACATGTTTAATATATTATCGATGCAATTTAAACAATATATTTAATTAATATTCTACATAATTAGTGGTTCAGAACTTTCATATTCTATAAAAGAAACTTGTTATGGTGAGACAAGAGAACGTTTTCCATTTAAATGATTTACAAGTCATTAGTGCATTTCAATCATGCACCATATGTGTAAAATTTGATTATTTATGTGTATTAACTTGTAGTTTGTGGAGTATGAGAAGATGATATACTTGGATGGAGACATTCAAGTGTTTGAAAACATTGATCACCTTTTCGACATGCCCGAGGGCAATTTTTATGCTGTGATGGATTGCTTTTGTGAGAAGACATGGAGTGAATCTCCTCAGTACAAGATTGGGTACTGCCAGCAGTGCCCGGAGAAGGTGCAGTGGCCAGCCGAGTTGGGCTCACCACCACCACTTTACTTCAATGCCGGCATGTTTGTCTTTGAGCCTTGTGTTCTAACTTACCATGATCTGCTAGAGACCCTCCAAGTCACCCCTCCTTCCTTGTTCGCCGAGCAGGTAATAGCAGGATCGTCTGCTTATATTTTTTGTGTTGATGTCGTAATTAATTGCGCCAAAAACGCATGTTATTTTGGGTTTCTTTGAGAAAAAAAATCATTCCCAATTTGAACTATAATTTTGATGACCATATGCAGGACTTTCTGAACATGTTCTTCAAGGACATATACAGTCCTATCCCACCTATATACAATCTTGTTTTGGCTATGTTGTGGCGCCACCCTGAGAATGTCGACCTTGACAAAGTGAAGGTTGTTCACTATTGTGCTGCGGTATGTAACAATTAAAGCTCATCCAATTTTCGCTACGAACAAGAAAATATTCTCTAACCAGAATGAATCTGAGTTATTGATGAAGTTGATTTTTGCCAATACAAAATATTAATTTGATCTTAAATATCATTCAATTTTCGTTACGGAATCATGTAATCAAGAGTGTGAATCTTGATCATTGATAGAGTTGATTTTTGCCAAAATAGAACTTCAAATCCCGTCACATACAAAGATTACCTAAATAATTTGGTTTTCATATGAGACAGGATTATTGATCGAGTGGATTTTTGCCATAATAAACACTTAAAATTCACGGTCTGGAAACATATGTATGACATGGAACTGAAGTTTGATTAAATTGAGTGGGATGCAGGGATCAAAGCCATGGAGGTACACAGGAAAGGAACAGCATATGGAGAGAGAGGACATCAAGATGCTGGTGAAGAAATGGTGGGACATTTATGATGACGCTTCACTGGATTACAAGAATGATGATGATGTGGATGATCGTGTGGTGAAGGATGACGAGCAAGTAAAGCTTGCACCCTTTATTTCCAGATTATCTGGGACTGACGTTGATGAGCAAATAAGTGCACCTTCTGCAGCTTGATCAACTAGTCCCGGGGTAACGTGACGCCGATTTGGCTTTGAGAGCCAGACTTCTATGTATTAACTATTTTAGCTATACTAGCTACACCAGCTTGTGTGTGTAGGAAACTACACTTTCTATTATATATACTCCATAAGTCTATATGGGGTTGTGTTTGTAACGTGAACCGAGTTTGCGAATAAAACGATGCTATTATGTACTTGGATTTGCAGTTTCTTTAAGGTATGTAGCTTACTGTATATTAGTTGACTAATTTGATCGTAAGAAAAGTAGAAGACCAGAGAGAGAGAGAGAGAGAGAGAGAGAGAGAGAGATGGAGGAAGCAAAAGGAGTGGTGAATCATACTGTATATTGCTAGCAAAGTTCAAAGGTGGAATCTCAGAAAGTCAGATTGAGGAAACTCATCAAAGGGAATGCCAACCCCGTCAATCTCATCGAACCCATGGTCCTTTCCACTAGTAATACCAAACTTCTTCCACATTTGAAAATTCTAATATGCTTTGGAATATCCTATAAGCGTAGAGTTTGACCGTTAAATCTTGTTTATTGGATTATAATCGTTGGTCAAAAAATTTAACGGTAAAAAATCCAAGCATATAAATACACAGGAGCATATATAAAGTCCCCTTCCACCCTTTCCCTTTTCATTTTTTTAGTTCCCTTCACACTGGTATCTTTTTTTTCTCAAAACTATAGTTAAGAACAGCTCCACCCCTAAAATATCCCCTAGGCTATTACCCGCTATTAAGCAAAGCAATTACTGACTTTAGTGAGCAGCAACTGCTCATGACACGACATGCATTGCCGACATTTAAGTTATTCCAAAATAGTAGGCAAAGTGTTGCCAAAATGATGGCGTGCCACATTTGTACAAATTATTTTTGTACATCTTTCCGATTTGTTGGTGTCTGCAAGGATTTGCACTCAACTGCTTCATTCCAGAAGTAGAGTCAGTTGATCAGATGTCACAAAAAGCAGCTTCCGTTGTTACTGATTCCCACCACCATATTTATGTACTAATACATCCAAAATAATTATTTGCACATAACATGCACATATATTTTAAACATATACATGCATGTATTTCATTATAATAACTTGTACAAATCAAAATTAATTTATCTGTATTTTATTTAAAAATATGCAATTAATTTACCCAAAAATAATTATTTGACAATATATTTTAAACGTATTCATGCATGGATTTCATTATAATAATTTATACAAATCAAAATTAATTTATCCGTATTTTATTTAAAAATATGCAATTAATTTACCGATTCATATGAATATGAGTATGATATGAATATATGTATTTTTCTAACATTTTGACATGTTCTCATCGTGGCACACATGTCACATCCCGGCTCGGGGGGGACTACTTCCCGGGCCCGCTCCACCACCGTAGCACGATATTGTCCGCTTTGGGTTTACCATTCCCTCACGGTTGTTTTTGGGAACTCACGAGCAACTTCCCAGTGGGTCACCCATCATGGGATTGCTCTAGCCCCCTTCTCGCTTAACTTCGGAGTTCCTACGGAACCCGAAACCAGTGAGCTCCCAAAAAGTCTCGTGCTAGGTAGGGATGGGAATATACATTTAAGGATCACTTCCCTGGGCGATGTGGGATGTCACAACACCAAAATAGGAGTGGGTTCGATTTGAATCGGTTTGGTTTTTTGACAAAATCAAAATCAAACCGAATTTTCGATTCAGTTCAGTTCAACTTTTTTTCAATTTTTGTTCAGTTCGGTTTCAGTTTGGTTTCGATTTTTTTTTTTAATATTTTGTCCGTTCATGTAGAAATCTTGCACAAAACAAACTGCAAGGCAAAACCTGCATAAAACCAAATTAAAGTCAGACCTCCAATGAAATGCAACACAAAGTAAATATAATCAAAACAAGTTGGAAGAAATTTCAACCCGAATCAAGTTAATGTGATATTCGATCCCAATCTTTTGTTTAATATATACTTCAGATATAAAAATAAAAATAAAAAATAAAAAATTAGCAAATGAGAAACAAAATAGCAAAAACACAACAAACAAATATGAGAAATATGGAAAACCCCAAAATATGAACAATATGCAAAACCCCAACAAAATAATTAAAAGAAAAACCCATTTTAATTAAGCAAAACCACAATATAAATCATATTCGTTTTGATTTGAAAATTACCTATGAGAGATCGGAAAATCCACATTAGAATCTTCCGATTTGGAAAGGGTTCCGATTCGAAATGGGCGAGGGAAAATCATGGTTTGGAAGAAGGAATCAGCGAGGAGGACAGGAGAAGACCGGAGAGAGAGTGATTTGGAGGAAGAGAGGAAGAAAGGAGAGAAAGAGAGAGACTGAGAAAACAGAGAGGAAGAAAGTAAAGGAGGGGAGAGAGAGAGTTTGAGAAAACCAAGAGGTAAAATGGGAGTGACGGCTAGGGTTTGTAAACTTTAGAAATTTTATAAAGCATTAAAGATTAGAATCCCTATAAATAACTTACTCATACAATTATAGCAACACAAAACCTACAGTCAAGTTGGCTTGAAGCAACTATTTGCAACCTAGAGGGAAAAGGTTTGAATCTTCACGCCACCAAGTTTTGAATATTTATATATGATTTTCATATATCAATTTGGTTCGGACTGGTTCGTTTTCCGGACCAACAAAATCGAAATTGAACAAACCAATTTTGGTTCGATTTGTTTTCCTTGGTTCGGTTCGGTTTTTTTTGGTTTTCAATTTTTTGAACCCATCCCTACACCAAAATATCGCTATTAGCAGGCATTACTTAGAAAGGAAAAAAACAAAACTGCATGGTGGTTCACCTTCCTCAGCTTTACCTTAACGACATCATTGGCTTTTGAAATTCTCCTTCGAATTCTCTCTGATAAACCGGCTCCGTCACTCGCCAATCACGTACGTAAGTCTCCCTTTCTCTCCTCTCCAATTTCTTAGTTTCAATTTCCTAAATTTTTGAGAAACCAATCTGAGCATTAAGGTTTATAGAGAGAATGCATGACATACATTATGCCGACAATTCACGATGCTTATTATATCTTGGCCAACAACATGTTCTGGTGTGCCACGATGCGGGTTGCCATGTCAAGACTAGTCATGCCAAGCATGCAAAACGTCGGCAAAATGCAAGCCATGACATGTCATCGCATGCCAACAACGATGTTTTGGCGTGCCACGATGTGAGACTTAGCGTGTCAAGACAAATAATGACATGGATCTTTTATTTGCACGTGTTCTTACCAGTAAGAACACGTTCAATTTCTAAGCTGAATATTTATACAGGTTTTTACCGGTAAGAACACGTGCATTGTGTGATTTGAATATTTACCAAGGTTATTACCGGTAAGAACGCTTCATATATTTCCTAAATTCTTTTTTTTTTTTTAATATTCCAAAATAGTAGGCAAAGTGTTAGAAAAATGCATGGCGTGTAATGATTCATCTTGACATGCTAACCCTCGCATCGTGGCACACAATAATAAGCCTCGTAAATTATCAGCAAAATGCATGTCATGACATGCATTTCGACCGACAATTCGTGATGGTTGTCATGTCGTGGCCAATAGTGGTGTGCCATAATCCAAGGTTTACCGTGTCAAGACAAACCATGACATGCATTTTTCTAACACTTTGACACGCTAACCCTCGCATCGTGGCACACTAAACCATCGATGTTGGCAAGCGTTATCCAAAAAGGAAAAATTAAAACTGCACGGCGGTTCACCTTCCTTAGCTTTACCTTAATGACGTCGTTGGCTTTCAAAATTCTCCTCCAAATTCTCTCCAATAAATTGGCTCCGTCACTCTCCAATAAATCGGCTCTTTTTCTCTCCCTTCCAAATTCTTAGTTTCAATTTCCTAAATTTTTCAAGAAACCAAGCGAAGCATTAGGGTTTATAGAGAGAATGCATGGTGTGTCATGACATGCATTATGCTGACAATTCGCGACGCTTTTCATGTTGTGGCCAACAACGATGTTTTGGCGTGCCACGATGCGAGGGTTACCGTGTCAAGAGGAGTCATGCCAAATGTGCAAAAAGTCAACAAAACGCATGCCATGACATGTCATCGCATGCCAACATCGGTGTTCTAGCGTGCGGTTCACCTTCCTTGGCTTTACCTTAACAACGTCATTGGCTTTCAAAATTCTCCTCCAAATTCTCTCTAATAAATCGGCTCCGTCACTCGCTGATCACTTACGTAAGCCTCTCTTTCTCTCCTCTCCAAATCCTTAGTTTCAATTTCCTAAATTTTTCGAGAAACCAAGCAGAGCATTAGGGTTTATTCTCTAGCGTGTCATGACATGCATTCTGCTGACAATTCGTGACGCTTGTCATGTCGTGGCCAACGGCAATGTTCTGGTGTGCCACGATGCGAGGGTTACGATGTCAAGAAAAGCACTTGCCAACGAGATCAAACACTGTAGCCAGTGATAAGGATGATTGGGTACCAATCCTTGAGAATTTGAGAGTGCACATCTTCAGTAGTGTAATGTATCTTGGAAATATCCAAAAACTTAAAAATTAAACTGTGAGAGGAAAACATGCATTTATTCCAATGTTTTAAAGATGATTGAATTACAAGAAGGATCAACCCTGAAAAACCACATAAACCAATGTAATTAGACAAACCCCTTGGCAAAAGTCAAATCTTGGAGAGATCCAAAGGTTCACAAAACAAAACCCAATTGCATTAATCAAATTTGCAGCAACGAGAACGTTCATTGAATAAAACCCATTACCAATGAAGAACTGAAAGCTTAAAAACATAAGAATGTGTCTGATTTGTTTAAAGTATGAGTTCGGATAAGCATTAATTTGGACGAAAATATGCCACCGTGACGTCAACTTGATGTCACTCTCCCAATCACTGGCCAGGCGATTAGGGCCCGGGGGCTGTGTCGGGCTCCCTTGGAGCTCAGGTTATTGGAAAGCGCTGGACCGTTTTTTGGGTTGGAGAATTGGATTGCCCAGTAGCCTTGGGGATTGATAGAGGTGGAGTGGAGTTCTCTAATACATGAATGTAAAAGAATGTGAGTCCACACGATTACACGACACGTCGTTTCCTTTACAATACAGTATAGCATAAAGAGTGGTGAAGCATATACGACGTTTGGTGGAGAGCGAGGGAGTTGTGAGGCATATACGAAGTTTGGTGGAGAGAGAGAGAGAGAGAGAGATGGAGGAAGCAAAGGGATTGGTGAAGCATGTACTGCTGGCAAAGTTCAAAGACGGGATCTCAGAAAGCAAGATCGAAGAACTCATCAAAGGTTACGCCAACCTCGTCAATCTCATCGAACCCATGAAGTCTTTCAACTGGTAATAACAATAATAATACCAATTTCCAAGTTACTAGTAATCTAATCTCTCTTAAATCTTAATGTTCTTGCTTGGAAATTCATTCATTTTTTGCTCGGAAATTTACTGATGGAGCTACCAATTTAAAGACTTGAATCTCGATGCATTTTTCTCTCTGATTAATTTTAATTAAAATTTGTTAACCTGTGAAGTTGTCTGTTTAGTTTGGCCTTGGTTATCTGACCTTTGATTTAGACTTGCTTTTCATTAGTCTGACCCTTTATTGTGAAAAGAAATTAGTGTTGTTGATGCTGCTTTGACTGTGGGAGTCAGATGGGTCCTCAAGATCCAATATTTTAAGGCAAAATTTAGCTCCCATTTTTCGAAAGAGTGCAGCTTTAGTGAAAATTTGATGCTTAAAAGGGGTTGAAGCATCAGCTATTGGTTAAAGCTGCAGTTTTTCTTTTGAAAAAAGCTAATTTTTATGGTTGCATTTTTGCTCACCATCCTCAATTGGTGGTAATGCTCACCATCTTATTTTGTTACCGTTGGATAAGTTAAAATTTTGAGATTTGTGTCTGTTCACTACACAGGTCTCGAATTTAAACTCATCTACGGGAATAAATAGGTTTGTGAGAATCACCATCACTTGAGAGCGGTGAGCAAAAAATATTCCCAATTTTTAGTTGGTGGATATGTTTGGATATTTTTGCCGCATTTGGCATATCACACTGCAGTTGCTTGTACCAAGCACATGGGCCTCGTTTGGTCTCTAGGATTGGATTTGAATGGATAACCATGTAAATTGGGTCCTCTCGACCAAACGAGGCCATTTAGTATTATGATCAAAGAGCTGGACATCACTAGAATGCCTTTTAACCTGAGACGGTTATTTAGCATTTCATAGATTATTCGACATGATTTTCTAGTTGTTGTCCATTTAGTTCCCCTTCCCTTAAAGCTATCGAACAAGTAATGAATTCACCAAAGTTTTCTCCTGAGTTGGACAAGCTGCAATTAATTGAGTAAGTATTTGATTCATGTTTTTGTGATCAGGGGAAAAGACGTGAGCTTTGAGAACCTACATCAAGGTTTCACTCATGTCTTTGAGTCAACCTTTGAGAGTACGGAGGGTGTCGCAGAATACGTAGCCCATCCTGCCCACGTTGACTTTGCAAATTTGTTACTTTCCAATTTGGAGAAGGTCATTGTGATCGATTACAAACCAACTACAGTTCATGTTTAAATCGGAAGGACCATCCCAGGTGTCGTATGTCGTGTTGTTTCTCCTGGTGGAACTTAAGCTTCTGTGTAAGAGGCTGATTCAGGTCTGTTTTATCTGATTTACAAACCGTGAGTAAAATGAAATAATTCAGGTCTGTCATTGGTTGTGCCTCAAATTTTAACTGCATTGCCTTGTATTGGTGTTGATGCTATCGAATCGATTTAATACTCAGTTAGATTTCTTATATAATTACATTGGACTGCTTCAAGTCCATAGTCTTCCTTACTGGTGTTTTGCTCCATAGCATTATGCTTAGAGCATCAGTTCCTCTGAGGATCCAGCGGAGGGCGACTTCAGAGAGGCGGGGAGAGGGAGATTTGGGACACGTTTGGTGCCAAAATTGGATTGGATTTGATAGCTCACAGTAACTAAAGGTATGTGATGTAGGACGAAATGGAGGCCTAACTTCAAATCCAGTCGATCTAATTCGTTTAACTTGAACTTGGAAGTTATTAGACCTTCATTTCTTATATCAGCATACCTTGAATCTAGTGAGTTCGCAAGTAACTTTTGCGGCTCGGATAGAGCTGCCCCCTGACCAGCACACTCTATCCCTTAGATATGATCTGAATTCTGATTGTCTGATGTTTCACTTGATCGAAATCTTTTGTCACGAATCCGGAAAGTAATCTTTTATTTTGGAGTTATATCGTTAAGGACTCAGATCTTCACTAAATTGTAATACATAAAGGAAAGGAGTCCTTTGATTGATGCCCGAATCGAATTGAAAATCAAATTGTATTCAATTGAGAATGTGAGAGACTTTAATAGATATATAAATTCATGGATTTTTATAGAGATTCTATATAAAATTTTGATTCAATTCCCTCAAAATTTCATAGGAAGATGTGAGATTTGTGGATGCTTAAAATGCACTACAAAATCTCTCTAATTCCCTTTAATTCCTCAACTTTCTCAAATTCTATAAAATCAATTTCTAATTGAATATACCTAGAATGTTATAATTTTTTTTTAAAATCCTAATTGAATACATCTAGAATGTTATAATTTTTTTTTTAAATTCTAATTGAATACACCTAGATTTCTAAAGATTTTAATAAACGTTCTTATAATTCTAATTGAATACACCTCGAATATCAGATAATCATTTAAAATCCTGATTGAATACTTTTAGATTCATCAAAAAAAATTAAAATCTCTCAAAATCTCAGTTGAATACACCCCCCCCTGAAACAAGACATATATAGGATTCTTTCACTAAAAATAATCGAACTCGACATATCAGAAGTTTGTGAAGCAAAGGGAGGGAGAGTTAAAGAATGTTTTGATAGCAAAGTTCATCCAATCCTAAGCCAATCCCTTGAAGTCCTTCCACTGGTACCCCCTCTCATCCATAACCTCCTTCATTTTTTGTTATACCCAATTAATTACCTGTTACTAAGTTTGGCTCGTTTGAGATTGCTGATATGGAAAGCAATTATGCTTGAAATCACTTTGCTAAAAGTTATTTCTAAAAAAGCACCTAGCAAGATTGATGTGGTAAACACAGTCGGGTATGCTTTTGGTTGCCAGAAAAAACTTGATGCGGCAACATTTTTTTTTTTTTTTTTTGTTTTTTGCTCTAGTCAAATTAGCCAATCTCAAGCCTGCTCGCAAGGTCTATTAGTCAACCCAAATATAGGCTACATTTTTTTTTGAGTTGATATTGGCCACATTTTAATGTAATTAAACTTTGTTTTTCTTTTTTGTTTTGCAATAAGGGGACTAACTGGTGACTACATCAACGTAGTCTTTCTTTTGGGACCGGAAATTCTTACATAGATATTTCAACCCACTCTTAGCCATTATTGTATGATTCACTAACGCCAGAAATCAAACATATGACTTAACATATAAAATATGAATCTGGAATTCGTCCCTACATACTCAGTTATCTCTGGTGGTTATTAAACGTTGTTATTTTTTTATATAGTGGTTCCCAATAAATATTACAAATAATAAATTTTTGTAAAGAAAATTTGATCTCCATTATATTTGTATATCTACACTACCTATTAATAAAATCATGGTTGTCAACCAAAATTTCAGGAAATTACCATTTTAAACCCCTCACCAAAATTGAAGTCAAGTAAAAAATATGGGCAATTTAGTAATTACATGACCATAATTTTACTTTTTTTATAGCAACCTCACAACTAGGTTAATATAACATGCTCTATTTAAAAATAAAAAATATTCTCACATTAGAAGAAACCACTCATCATTATCCCAATTTTCATAACTGATTTTTTTTTTTAAATTTTAAAAACTAATCCCACTTCATAATAAAAACAAAACAAAATGAAATACATCTGCTACTTCTTCAATAAACAAAACTAAAGAATTTTTTATTAATTACATTTAAATTGGGGGGATAATTAGTTATTTAGCCTTATGGGCCTGATGGGCCTCCAAAAGTCAAAATATAAGCTCGAAGAACCCAATAAACAGACTATTCTTTTGGTACCAGTTACCACCAAGACTCTCTCTCTCTCCCTCTCTCTCCACTTTTGGGTTATCTCTTGGATGGCAACCACCACCGCAACCACCGCTCTCGGCGCCTCCAGTTCAGGTTACCCATTTTTTTCTTTTTATATTTCTCGATTTTATTTTCTTATTCATAATTCCTTCTTTCTTATGTTTACGCTGGGCCAGGTCTGTTTGTTTCCCTCGAAAATAAACCATTGATGATGAAAGAAAATCAATGGGTTTTCCGAGCGGTCGAAACAGGCTGACCCTGGAAAAGTTTCGCCGTTTTTTTCTTTGGGGATCATGAGTTTATATATGGGCTATGTGATTGTAGAGACTTTGGAGTGTTTTGTTTGGTTTAGCATTCATGGATTTATGAGCGGAAGTTTCCTGCTTTTTTATTTATTTATTTATTTATTTTCTTGTGAAATTCTGAAAACCCATTTCAAGGATCGTAAGTTTCCTGGAATAATCTCTGATTTTCAGCTGGGTTATCTACTGTTAATGGGTTTTAATAATTAGATCAGAACCAAAGTTTGGCTAAACTTCTGTGCACTCTAAAAATTAGGTGTTTTTAGTTTAGTTCAGAATTTGTAATATAGGTGGAGTTGCACGCCGAACCATTGAAGCTCGCCGTCACAATGTTATTTACTCGTTGTTAGTTGAATTCCCAATTGGGTGCTTGGTGTCCAAGATGAGTTGGAGATCAATACTGGCAGCTACAACTATTTGCGACTGATATTTATCGTATCTTTTGAAGTTTCATAGGTTTCTAGTGAAAGAAAAATTCAGGGGGCATGAGAAATATTCATTTGATGACTTTGCTCCATAGATAGACTCGTGTCACAGCTTCTAGTTGAATCATTGATGTTGGATTGTTGGTTGGTTTCTGATATTTGGTCTTATGCTATTTGATGCGGGCACTGCCAGGACTGGTTGTACCACAACTTTTTTCACTAGCAGTACTTTAGTTGCAGTTTGTTTTTCGTTTTTTCATACTTATGGTTAAGCAGTTTGGTTTTCCGGTTCAGGTACTGCAGGTGAAAAGGATGGTTTACCGGTCGAGTCTACCAATGGAGCTGCTCCTCTTCCAACCTTAGAGACAAAACCTGAACAAACAGGTCAGTAATTCTTTGTACTCACAGACGCTTGTTTATCCATTTTCTATTCTGATGTTAAGTACCGTAAATTCATTGACCAGAAGGCTAATGTTATTTCCTATCTTGATAGAGGTAAAAGCTCGGGTAGATGCCATGTGGGAGCAAATGAATAAAGGAGTATCAAATAAGCAGTTCAAGGATTTATTAAAGAAGTCTTCCTCATCTGTGAATAAAACTCCCAAGAAGTCATCTAATGTGAGAATATCCTCATTCATCCTATTTGTGTTGGAATTATAAAATTGTAGTTGGCCAGAATTTAATCTTTTACGTCGATTTATTTCTCAGAATTGGATGGGATATCTGGGCCTGGCACAAAAGAAGGCAGATTCCCCTAAAGAAGATGCTGCACAGAAGGGATCAAGTGGCATGAAGAACAGCTCCAGTGATAATGGCGTGCAGGACAAATCTCGTGACGAAGCCAGGCGGCTTGCTGCTGCTGCTCTTGTAGAAGTTAAGGATGCTGCAGTTGCAACATCTGGCAGAGGGAAAGTTGAGGTAAGCATATTGTTGTATTACCTGTTTGTTTCTATTCCGTCGGGGGCACCTGTCTTGCTAAACTTTGGTTTAGATAGACCTTTTGCTTAGTCACTAGTTGTTTAATCTCCTCGATAATCATTTTTTAAGAGATGTATACCTAGTTCTTAGTTTTCTTTCCAGTTAATTTTGGAAATAATAAGATTACACACAAACACATCGATGTATGCATGTAGTTACACACCCCTTTTACCACCTGAGTAGTCTCTGATTGCGGAGCAGTTTTCCTTTTTAACTTGAATCCCTTGGAGCTGGTTCTTAGACCAAAACTCGTAACTATTAGTGTCACGATCAATTATCATCCTACAGACAAGTTTGAAGTTAGAAAAATCTTGATTGTGGGTGCGGACTTTTGAAAGTTTATTGGTTATAATCATATTCAACAGCCAGGTCTCTTTCTTTTTATAGATCATGGAGGTTCGGGATTTTGCTGGTAAAGAAATTGAATACAAGAAGCTTGTTGATGCTGATTCAAAGGAAGCATCCGAAAAGGCAAAAGCTCCTGCATCTTCAGGTGTCGATGCTGTGCTCGAACAGATTAAGAAGAAACAAAAGCTCAGTGTGCTTGACAAAACGAAAAAGGATTGGGGGGAGTTCAAGGAAGAGAAAGGGTTGGAGGAGGAGTTGGAATCTTACAAGAAGAGTTCAAATCAATATTTGGATAAGGTAAACTTTTTGCAGCGAGCAGATTTCCGAGAGTTTGAACGGGAGAGGGATGCGCGCCTGGCCGTGCAGGCCAAAAGGAAACCAGATATGCGGGAGGAGCCATAACTGCGCAATGATCGGTTTGCCAAACTGGGAATTCAGAATTATAGAGAGGACGATGGGCAGTAGCTACAATTTTAAGGCGTATTGTGCATTTGCATGAGGTTTTTTCAACAGATCCTGGATTTTCGAGGAGAGAATGGCCATTAATTGTAAACTAGTGAAAGATATTTTAATCTTATTCTGATTTTACGGATGGGAGTGTAGGTAGCCCTGTAAACGGGTCGGTTTTATTGAGTTTGGGCCGTTTTCAAACCCTATTTGTGGGTCTCGATTCTTAGACGAGGAACTTGCAGTATGACATGATGGGAATATCGAGTCCCAGTTCAATTATTTCCCTTTGTCAAATAATGGTTGGTCTTCAAACTCGACCATTTTTTATCATGTTGCTAGTTTCACCAGAGTACTGCGTTAAGCCAAGAATCAAAAGAAGACATATAAATCAGTTGACGATTGCAACAAACATGGCGCAGCCAAGTTGCCTAAGATAGCGAAGCTCCCTCTCTAAACCTATGTTTTAATCCCCATCCCCATCGTTTGAACGGAACCCTATCCTATCCTAATCCTGACTCATTATTATGTCGCCTTCCCCTTCAACTTTGCCAAGCCCCGACTTATCCTAATCAGTTGTCGATCATTAAGAGACGGTAAGAACAGATGCGTAGCCCTACTTAACCCCGAGTAATATCATCCAAGAACAAGTAATTACTAGGCAGTAAAACTGCGCAAAATGGGTAACATTCCATTTGCTCAACATAGCCTTCCTTATGTTGTTATTCACAGTGAGTTGAGAAAGCATACAGACTTATTCCCTTGACACAGCGCAAGGGAACGGTAAAACAACTAAGTGGAAAGTTCATGCCAAGTCATTCCAAAATTCTTAAAAACAAAAATTGAAAACAAAGATGAATGGAAGTAATGATTTTTTTCTAGATGTGAATGGGCTTGTCATAAGTAGCCATGGCAGCTTCCTTCAACGCCTCGCTCATGGTCGGATGTGCATGGCAAACTCGTGCAATGTCCTCGCTCGATGCATCATACTGCAAGGCTATGGCTGCCTCGTGAATGAGCTCTCCAGCATTGGATGCCATGATATGAACTCCCAATATCTTATCTGTTTCCTTCTCGGCCAATATCTTGACGAGTCCTTCAGCATTGTCTATTGCCTTGGCTCTGCTGTTTGCCATGAAAGGGAACTTTCCAACCCGGTATGCAACGCCAGAGGCCTTCACTTGTTCCTCGGTCTTTCCAACAGACGCGACCTCAGGGTGCGTGTAGACGACCCCAGGGACCTTGTCATAGTCCACATGGCCAACCTTACCAGCTAGGAACTCCACGCATGCAACCCCATCCTCTTCTGCCTTATGAGCCAACATAGGTCCAGGAATAACATCTCCGATTGCATAAACACCCGAGACATTTGTAGAAAACCTCTCATTCACTAAAATTCTCCCTCCCTTGTCCATTTCAACTCCTATCTTGTCCAAATCAAGCCCGGATGTGAATGGAACCCTACCAGCAGATACAAGAACGACATCAGCTTCAAAGGAAGTCTGGTCACCACCAGATGCTGGTTCAAGGGTCAACTTCACACCATCTCCAGAGGTATCAACTCCAACCACCTTTGTTTTGAGCATGAACTTCATCCCTTGCTTCTCAAGGGAACGCTGAAATTGCTTGCGGATTTCTGAGTCCATTGATGGGACGATATCAGGACCAAACTCAACAACAGTTACCTCAGAACCAAGTCTGCCCCACACCGAGCCCATCTCTAGGCCGATATATCCTGCTCCAACCACCACAAGTTTCTTTGGGATTTCCTGCAAAGCCAGAGCTCCTGTGGATGACACTATCTTCTTCTCATCAATGGTAATTCCGGGTAAAGACTTGACATCAGAACCAGTGGCAATTATGATATTCTTTCCCTTCACAACTGTATTCTCGCCATCAATGGTGTCCACTGAAATTTCAGACGGGGAGATGAACTTTCCATAACCTTTAACATAAGTGACCTTGTTCTTCTTGAACAGCCCTTCAATTCCTCGTGTAAGATTAGAAACAGCTTTGTCTTTCTGGGACATCATGGCAGGTAAATCTATTTCGACATCGGAGAACTTCACTCCGTGGTGCGAAAATGCATGCTTAGCTTCGTAGTACATGTGAGAGGAATGAAGAAGCGCCTGGACACAAAAGCAGACGATATTAGAGATAAATTCCACATACCAATCTAAATTCAACGAGAAGAAACACCCCTAAATTACACTGAAAACAACCCGAAACGAGAATACGTAATTCACACAACATTAGAAAACTTTAACTTGGAAATGCTCATTGCTTTTTTAGTGGATGATTAATGCCATGCTACTCAAGATTAGAATTTTTTTTTCTTCTTCTTCTTTTATAAACTTCTGAGGGAGCCCAATAGCAATATGATATAAATTTCCACAATTCGACTGAATAAATCCAGTAAATTTTCAAAATTAATTAAACTCCAATCGAAATAAATATTATCAAACATGAACGCGAAATCAATCAACTGAGATTCAATTAAATAATTCCAATGATCAACAATTAGATCTGACAAGCAGTAAAAACAAACACAATCACGAAAATAAAATAAAAATAAAAATCCAGAAAGTTAAGAACCCTAGCAGGCAAGTATGGAACTGCAGGAGCAAGCAAGAGTGAAAAAAAGAGAGACCTTGGAGGGTATGCACCCGACGTTGAGGCAGGTGCCGCCAAGAGCACCGCGCTTCTCGATGCAGGTGGTCTTAAGGCCGAGCTGCGCGGCCTTGATTGCCGCAACGTAACCGCCGGGACCGCCGCCAACGACGACGACGTCGTTATCGTCAGATCCGGCGGAGGCGAAGCCCCTGGAGAAGGAGGTGAGGGAGGAGTACCTGACGGCCTCCGATGACGTGTTGGACAAGTTTCTAGAGAGAAGGTAGGCCTTCCGCCGCGCCAAGCTCGCCATCGCCATTGCCATTGCCCTTTTGAAACTTGGATTTGTTAAACCTCACTATTTCGTCTCTCTTTCGCTTTGCGCTTCTGCCGCTTGGTAAAAGGCCTTCAAATGCGACCGCTGGCCAATGAGCCGCTTTTTTCACAATTATTTTCTGCTATTATTAAAATTGATTATATTCTTTTTTACAGATATAATCCGTGGTCTTCCAAAAGGTGGCTGCCACGTTGTAATATAGTTGTGATTGAGAAATGAGATGGAATCGTGGCCGTTTGATACGTGATATTTGTATACTGATTGGTGCGCTTGTTCTACGCTTACCTTATTTGACTACCACTTTTTTCTCCCTTATTTTTTTTGGGAATTTATTAAATAAATAGGATGAACAATCATGCGGTGGCAACTAGATCAATAATTTACTATCATAATCTGAGAAAATTAATTTCAACGATTTATTTATTTATTATTTTTTCGTTCGTATTTTATCTTTTTATGTAACAAAAATAGAAGAAGAAAAAAAGCGAAATGGAGAAAATGGTAGAGCCTCACACACTCTTAGCATATCACCAATTTGGATGTTTGGTGGAGGGGCAATTGCCCCCAAACATGATGAGGTTATTTGTCTTGTGCCGATTAAAACAACATCCAAGCCAAATTCATCACGAGAAGAGAAATTCTAACATGTAATCGAGGTATACATCTCATCCGTTCCGGTATACACAACAGCTTATTAGCATTTGTGTCCCGTGACGAAAGATATTAGTAAAAGACCATACATCCAATTGGTTATATGTGCACTCTAATCTGTGTCATGCGATCAGAGATACTAATTAGGTGATATACGACCAACATGAATCGTTTAGTCTCAACAACAAAAAATAAATTACATAGCTAGTTTGGATTAAGAGAAAGTTCACTCGAAACAACAATTATTTAAAATAATCAGATAATTAAGATTAATGTAAATAAATGAATCAGTTTAACCCAATTCATTTAAAACAACACTGAGCTCAAATGTAAATACCGATTGACCGCTACATTCCACAACCTCAACAACAGAATCAAGTCGTAAATCTATCCTAGCCAAACTGCCGGGTGCTTTGTTCTAAACCTAATCTGAAGCAGCCACAAACATATAAAAATGCATCTCCCATTTGGACTCAGTGAATAGGAATCGACTTCTATTTACATTAACAAGCTTCTCAGCCGGCTGAGTGCTTCCTCCGAGAGCCTGCAGGTCCCCAACCTCGGGCGCTGGCGAGGGAACTCAACACGTTCCGGTGAAGAGAGGCGCACGACAATAACCGTGAGGTTGTCTGATGTGTTCAAGCGCAGTGCTTCCTCGACAAGTTCTTTCGCACACTGTTGGGGGTCATCGTGCCTCCTCAGCCCAAGCCGAACCAGCTTCACAGCATATTCGCTTGACATGACATCCCAGATCCCATCACAACCAATGATCAAAAACTCATCATCTTCTGTTAACATAACCTGCTGAACATCAGGCTCGGCAATTAGCGGCGACAAGGAACCAAGTGGTTTCAAGCCCCAATCTCCAAGGGCTCGGGTGACTCTGATAGAATCATTAAGACGGTCATACTTATCATCAACGAAACCACCCAACTGCTCAACTCGCATGCGTTCCGGCAAGTAACTAGGTTTATGATCTTGAGACATGTCAACTGCTGTTCCTTTCTTGCAAAGAACCGCTCGACAGTCACCAGCATTTGCAACCAACAAATGCCTTCCAAGTATAAGAGCAGTCAATGCTGTTGTTCCACACGAACTTCTCACACTGTGTTCCTCAGCCAAGGCTTGATCTGCCTGTAGAAATGCCTTCCTGTGGGAATTCTCCAACTCTCTGAAAAAAACAGCATCCATATCCGTTCTCTGCGGTAAATCAGCATCTTCAAAGAATAGTCTCATGGCATGCCTCTTCATATAAGCAGCTGCCTCAGGCCCTCCGTGACCATCAAACACCGCATAAAATGCACTTGGAAAGGGACACTTGAAGAGAGCCCCAACATGGGCAGATAGATCATCAATCCGAACGTGCTCGTCATCCATGGAATCCCTTGGTCCAATGTCACTATGGCTTCCTGAATGAATGTTTGGCACAAAGTTGACCGCAGAAGACTCCATTCCAGCATTATTAATCGTCTCTGTGCAACTCAGAACCTGGTAAAACAGAAACCAAGTAGGTGAGTGAACATGTTCCATGCATCTCAAAAGAACACAATCCTGGATATAGATTTTGGTATGCACACAAAGAAACTGGAAATCCAACAAGCATAAAAAGTATGAATGAAGAAATCACCAAAATTACAGAACTGACCGGTGTATTATCAATGATACAAGATTTCACCCAAAAATTTCGTCTAAGAGCGCTACAAGAGTAAAGGCTCATTTTTTTCCTCTAATTCTTTCATTACAATTCATTTTTAATTAAGCTGTTGATTGCCTCAGTCAGAATTTCCCAAAAATTAAGCAGCAAATCAAATGTTATAAAAGAAAAACCTCGATCACCGAATGAGTAACCCATTAAAGAAATTCCAGCATAGAGAAAACCATATAAGAAAATCAGTTTCCAAACCCCAGTATATAAATTCGCACCTGATCTAATCGGGCTCATACAGACTCGAAATTCTACAAACAATCTATCAAGTACACAATTCTGATCAATTCCATTAAAAATTCAACCAAATCAAAAGGTTCGCTTGGAATTTACTGTAAAGCTAAACCACCAAGGAATTGGAACTTATTCGGTAAAAAAATTCGCCAGAGTTCATGAGGAAAAGGTATTCCAGGCTAGTGAAAAACACCATCAAATCTAAAAATAAAAAATAAAGGAAAAGAAAAAACCTCGGAAGCAGTTAATTCAGTAGACCTTAACTCAACCCACAAAAATTCAAGAACCCATGTCGATTATGTTCATAGAATTCCCAAAACACAACTAATCTAGAGCAGAAGAACCCAAAAAAAAAACAAAACAATCGAACAAATCCCACACAAAAAATAATTAAAAAACAGAACAATCAAACAAATCCCTCACAGAAAACCCAATTACAAAAGCCCTTAACGCAGAAAATAATTCACTAATTCTTCATACGACGTGAAACAGAGCTATAAAACATACCGATTCCGGGGTCACAATCATCCTTAAACGCCGTCGTACCGTCCAAAAAATTATCAGATTTGGGATTTTTTCAGTGAAGAAGAAGAGGGATAGCAAATTAGGGTTTTTATTTCGGCTTTGGGGTTTCCAATTCTCGATCGATCTCGGATTTTATCTGAATTTTTTTGTTGTGTGTAAATGTGACGAGGAACGTGAGAGAGCGGGGTTTATATTTGTATCGGGAATCCAAGTCCGGTACGGAGTAAATGACCGGATGAACCGGTAACACCGTTGTCAAGGACGGGACGTGTGCGTGGCGGACCGGGTTCGGGGTGTTTTTGTATGAGGAAGCGTGTTTGACTCGTGAATCCTGGCGGGTAAATTGTTGGAGGCAACCCGAAGGCGGTTGAATGGTTTTTTGACGGTTTTATCCTTTGTAGGTTTCCTTTGTGGCCGTTTGTTTCCAATTCGGACTCGGAAATTGGAATTCCGTGCTTCGCTTTCCTTATACGGAGTGACAGCTAAATAGTGTGCCGACATGAGATTGCTTCCCGATGCCGCCTCCACTTTGACGCCACCTATTACTCGGTAACAGTAATTTACTTTTAATTATATTTAATTACGAAAAAACGAACTCCGTAGTTTAATGGGTTACGAGTTTCAATCCACTTGCCTACTGTATGACTTGTGAAAACAAAATAAAAAACTACAGAGAAAATTTGAATTTGAATGGAAATTAGAGTACTCTCTTCTGTTAATGTTCGAAATACACTGATTGTATAAATTATCCAAATGGAGTTGTTCATGTGTCAATATTAGTCACGTGGTGAATAAAATCGTAATAATACCTTATAATTAAGTCTGTTATCATTCTTGGCCCAACTTGATATTTTCATTCTATCTTATTTCGTCTACATGTGAGTCACGAAGAGTCATTTAAAATTATCTTCAAAAGAGACGTCAAATTTTAAATTTGATAGTCTATGTGGCGAGAAAAACTTATGTGAGCATTTACATGCCACTAGATGATGTTGAGTGGCACTACACGTCACTCATAAATTGCCATGTGTTAAACTTAAATATTATTTTTTATTTTTAGTTTTATATGAAAATAAAATTAAAAACTTAAATCATTATTTCTTAAAAAACTAAAATGGTAAAAAGAAAATTCACAATCACAGTTAAATCTACCTCCATCTGCGAACCCGCCTCTTTTCTCTCGTCGACACCGGTGATCTGCAACGCCGTCAATTCTTCCTTACTCTTCAGGCTCTCCCTTTCTTAAGTCTCTCATCTCCCATCTCTCAACTCTATCTAATGATTACTTATAACCCGTTCAACTTTACATCTATAGTCTATTAATATTTGAAAATTGGAAACGACATACTACTGCTAAACGAAGTTGGCTTTGAGAATTGGGTTCTTCTCCAGAATTTATATTCCCTTCCTTAATAATAATTTGATAATACATTGAAATAATGAGAGTTTTTTTTCTTTTTGAATTGAAATAATGAGGTTAGTCAGAAACCTAATCCAGCTTTGATGGATTAATAAACCCTTGAACCAGTAATTACACAAAATTTGCACAATTTCCCAGCAGCCATGCAAGGCCGTGAGAGTGAGAGATAAGCTTGTGATTATTTTTTATGGAAATCATGAGAAAGCTAATGTCTGTTTGCAATGAGTCACATACATAAACACATTTGATTATTCAAAATTCGAATACATTTGTTTCGATTCCATCACTCCTGGAAGAGTTGAAACTGCTTCAGTTTTCCAGGGCAGGTGCTGCAAAAGGAGGTGGTCTTGAAATTGTGGCTGAATTTCCACCGTCCCTTGCAATTCCACCATCGCCCATTCCCGGCAATCCTCTCCGTAGCTGCGCTTCACCCGTATCTGCATTCCTCTCTTACCTTCGGATTGTGGCGTCCTTGAAGTTCAGGCCTTCTAACAATTTACTTTTCTATATATATATATATATATATATATATATATATATATATATATATTAATTAAATTTTGAATTATGATATAAAATAAAAATAAGAAATTATACTAATGCAACAATATTTAACACATGGCAAGTTATGAATGGTATGGGGCTGTCACTCAGCATTGTCTAGTGGCATGTCAAGCCCCACACAAGTTTTTCTCCTATGTGCCACTTGACACCTTTTAAAGTTTTTTTTTCCATCCGATATGTCAAATTAAACAACTATTGTAAAACATTTATTATAAATAATTATAATTAATGTTTTAAAATTAAAAAAAAAATTAATAAAATGCATATAATCACTTGAAAAAAAATAAAATGAACCTACTATCAATTTTGGCAATAAGGATTAGGGATGTCAATCCATATCATGTCGCATAATAGTTGGCTTTTCGGTTGGGAATCAATATTGTTGTCTTCTTTCACTGTTAGTGTTGATTTGTACAATTTACGATATCTTATGGAGATGATCTTAAGTCATCAAAACTCATTTGACACATAAAGATGCATTGCATTTTACCCATGTCACAAACACATGCATTATTCCGAATTGATGGGAAGTAGGTTAAAAAATTTGATGTGGACTGAACTTGACAACGAAACTAACCACAAGGATATTATTGAAACGTCTCTTAACCACGTGCGTCAGATTTACAAATGACTGATATCACACAAATCATATGTAATATATTTACTTTATATAGCCACAAGCAAGCTCATTGCATAAATTTGTTATCTTTCGCTTTAAATCACGTGAACCATGATGTACAACGCAAATAATGAAGTTTTTTTTTTCCTTAAAAAAAGAAGCTTCGTCATTGCAATCCACCTTTTTAGGAGTCGGGAAGATTCACAAAAACATTTTAGCCTCTTTTGACGACCATCATGTGAGTCATCAACGCCAGAAATCGAACACAAAAAATGTCGTGTAGAATACAAATATGGAATTCGCCACCAACCACTGATCACCTTATCGTGATTTCAAATAATGAAGCATTGAAATTTACAACAAATTATGATTATTAAATTAGGAGGAAGCCATTATTTTTTTGGGATATTTTGAAATTGGTCCAAAGTAACTAAAAATTAAACCTATTTCAAAAGTCAAAAGTCACTAAAAATTAAACATATTTCAAAAAGTAGGCTATAAAATTAGACCTATTTCAAATTTTCCCTATTTTTTAATCATGAAGAAAACGAAAGCCGAAATTCCTCCCTCGTTTCACACAAGGATGCATGTAGCGTTAAAATGCAGTATTTTATGTTAAACGTTTTTGTTTTAATTGTACTTTCTTTTCAATAATTAGGTTACTAATTTTTTAGTTAAAGAAGCGGAGTGACTAAGCAACTTTATTAAAGCTCCTCCTTTCAAATCTTATAGCCAAAAGGTTGCGTACGAGAGTTCGTTTTGGTTAGTTGTTGCCTGGTTGGATTTAGAGTTTGTGGCTTGGGTCAGCAATTAGCCACTAATTTGTTGTTTAAGCATTGGTTTGAGATTGATTAATTTTTTTTAAAGTTGTGTTAAAAATCATGTGTTTGGTAAAAAAAAAAAAAAAAAAATCTGGTTTTTTTTTTCTTTTCAAAATCTTATGCCAAAATAATCAGAAAAAAGCTGGAGTTGCTTCTCAAAATCGGTTTTTTTTATTTTTTTAAACGCGGATGAATAGTATTCAAGTAATAAAGTTCTCAAAATAATTTCTCTGTAAGGAACATCAACCTCCACAACCAATCCTCGCTTCTCCTTTACTTTCCCCCTTTCTTGTTGTAGTTCTTCAGATTGAAGGTTGGCGACCTTCAATTACCTTAAAAATCAACATAGGAACATAGAGAGATTGAGGGGGTGTTTGTTTGCCCTCACTAAGTTGGACTGGACTGGACTGGACTAGCTATTAGTCCAATACTGTGTTTGTTCCATGCTGGGACTAACATTAATGAGACTAAAGGGGACTAGCATGGACAAAACCCTTCACTAAGAGGTCTTAGCGAGACCCCTCAATAACCATGGGACTAGCTAAGACTATCCTTCCTTTCTCGTCCTCGTCATGCTCAATGACCACTCCCGACAGACTCCTCATCATCTCCGGTCACCTAGATCAATCATTAACTTTCCGACTCTCTTTCAAATCCATTTCACAATCAACTTTCATATAAAATATACCAAATTGAAGCTGAGAGTGACAAGATTACGATTTTACCTGAATCGAGGCCAAAATGTGGTCGAATGTGGCCGAAAAATGGCCTGGAAGTCTCGGCCTGTTTGGGCTTCTTCAAATCCATGACAGATTTGAGCATTCAAAACTAAGATCTCGGTCTAGGGATGGTGATGAATTTTTTGGCGGTGCTAACATCATCCAATTTAACAAGGGTTGGCCGGAAAACACATCGGGAAACCTGCAACTCGTCGGGAAAATTGGAGCCGTGAGGTTCCATTCGAACAACGCATTGCTAAAGAGGGAGGGAGGACAAAGAAATAGAGATTGGAATCAATAAGGAGTTTGACCAGGAATGAGAAAGAGACATGAATTGAGAGGTCTAAGAGGAAAAAAAAAAGGGAGAGGGTGGGACAATGAGAGAAGAGGAAAAGAGTAGGACGGAAATGGGAGGAAAAGATGAAAAAAAAGATAAGATCATAATAAAATATTAATGATTTATATATTAAATAATATAATATTAGAATTTGTTATTATCCAGCTTCTTAGTCCAATACTGCACCAAACGCTTCACTAAGTTAGTCCAATTTAGTCTAGTCTAAGCCAGTCCAGCTTAGTCCTTGAAGCTAATCCAGTCCGAGATAGTCCGGCGCAACAAACGCCCCCTGAAGGTTTTATAGAAAGGAAGAACAAGGAAATTGAAATTTGAGCTTTGCATGCGACAAATCTGTCAAGTTTGTGACTCCAAATGGGGTCATTGAGGTCTGACTTGTCTAAGTTATGGAGATCCGGTATTGGACCACATACTCAATTTCTTTATTTTACAACTATTTATTCTCATAGCATACCATACGTTTTTTTTTTTTTAAGCACAACAATAATAAACCAGCTCTAAGACCAACACTACTCAGAGTAACTTAACTCGCAAGTCCTCTTTCCTCTACTTTTATTACTTTTCTTTTAAATTTGTTAATTATTAATTTTATTATCTAACAAAAAGTCAAAAGCAGATTAGCCACATAGTTAATCAACTATCTCAGCCTACCCATCAAAGATTCCGACATCTTTCTTCTTTGGCGTCCATATTTACAAGGTGGAGGTCTTTTCCCTTTTTTTTTTTTTTTTTTTTTTTAATTTGTGGATATGCTGCATGCTAATTGTTATGTAGATCATAAAAGTACGAATTTATAAAATTAAATTCCCTTGGGTGCTTTCTGGAACATACAACTTTAAAACAAAGTTGTTTTGGTTTAATATCCCCCTTAATACCAATATAAAGTAAAATAAATTGCAAATTTGATTTCTTTAAATACCACTATGTCCATCTCAAAAAATAAAATAAATACCACTATCTCATTGAGAACGGGAAAAAAAAAAAATCTGAATTCGAGTTTGAAGAACAAGCTGAATGTTATTTTCAAACCCTCTCAATAGCAAAATTCAGATAAGACTCGCTCGTATAATTTTTATTCTTTGTTTTGTTATAATAAGTCCAAATTTTAACAATAACGTCTATAGAACTCATTTTAAATTGCTTTTAAAATAACTAAAAACGTTTTTGATGAAATTGATTTTGATTTTTGAGTTCCAAACCATTTTAACTGTTTTTTAGAAGAAGCACCAAATGTATGCTTCTTCCAATAATCACTTAAATGTTTTTTTTTTTTTCAGGATTTACTTGAATTTTTAATAAAGATTTATTTCAAAAATATTTTCACCAAAAACATTTTAATCATTTTATTAACATTTCAAAACAAACTCTGTGTTACAAGTAGAGTTCAACCAATTACGCAAGGGCGAGAAACCAAATAAAATCTACAAACATCCGTAACGTAGAAGTTTATATCTCGTGAGGTATCTAGATAGCAAGTATGATTGGTCCAAAACTTGACACCTCCCCATCAATCAAAACCAAAACCTTGACGATATTTTTATCATTTGGTCCGACATATTCGTATTTATTCACGAAAGTTCCACAAACTTTTAGCTAGGGTAACGCACTCGAGTTTCTTCTGTATACGTGTCCCAACAAGAATCGCTTGTGTTGGCAAGGTTCTTACCCTTCGGATATTTTTGATTGGCCAATCTTCTTCTGGTCCAATCCACACCGGCCAATGATCATCAAACAGCATGCCAAATGTCACATCTGCTGAAAAGTATACAAAAATGTGACTCTGTAGGTCGAATCCGGTCCCTTCTTGTGAGAATCCTAAGATCCGTCAATTATATCGTTCATCGTATATTGTGCGGTCATAAATTATTTTAAATATTTTTATTTAAAATTAAACACAAACAGTATTTAATAAAAACTGATAGCATAATATACAATAAACGAATACGATTAACAGATTCTTAAGATTCTCACCAAAAAAATTTGGAAAGGACCCTGTGAGTGTCGGTCCACCATTGCATATAACATAACAATAATTTGATGCGACACTTGATCTGATCTGATCTCGATTTAATTTGATGCCACACTTCTCATGGTCCAAAACTGGAGGTTGGGTTGCGGTTGCCTGGTTGGGTTGGGTGGGGTGAGCTTAAAGCCACAAGTCAACTCATCACCCTCCATTGTCATACATCCACTACTTCTTTTCCAATACCCATCTGGAGTGCTGGAATATCCGACTACGTTATTTGTAACATGTTTTTATTTTACAAAAAAGTATACACCCCAGCACGTTTGCTACATAAGAATTTTTATAAAAATGCAAACTATTATTGTATTTTGATTTCATCTGATACCAAATTGATTCTGTTTAATGTGAGACTTACACTAATAGACCAACCCTACTAAAGTTTCTCCAATTTGAGAGTATGTTGTGGACATGGCTAGTTTGGTATTGATTTCTGAGGTTTAGAAGCGTGATTAGACAATCAAAAGCGATCATGACAACTTTGAAAGGACCAAAAAAATGCTTTACGTGGAGCCTTTTGAAGCACTTTATAGTGATTTTTTCTTTTAACAATTTGGCACGCTTCTAACAAAAGTTGTTCTAGAAAAGTATTATGAGTAGAAGTGCTTACACCAAAAACGTTAAACAGGCTCGAAGCACTTTTGCTCATAAGCATGAGCAAATTCTTCCGGGCACTTTTTTTGCCACATGAATATCTATGAAGACATTGAAGAGGTCAATATGATCTATTGAGAAAAACCAAAAAGCCCTTAGATGTGGGAAACCACCAGAATCTTTACTGTAAATCAACAAAAGAATACCATTTGATCCAACAAGAAAAACGAGTTCAGTCCAAAATTCCCACTTCCTCAGGCTGAAGAATATCTGTACAGTTACAACTTTTATCCAACACAATGTTGCCAAAACCACCAACTCCCCCTAAAGTTGACATTTTTACTCACAGCAGATGGCCTCGTGCTCTTTCTGCAGCTTCTCCCATAGGCACAACACCAATCTCGGGCTTTGGTAATGAGCGAGAATATAATTCGCCTCGCATCCAGCATTGTAAAACCTATCGTCTGTGACATAATTCACTTCTTGACCCCTATACTTGAATTGTTGAATCCAGATTCCCATTGCAACATCCTCTAGTTTAAAGAGCTGAAAAGTCATAACGCCGAGATGTAAGTTTAGGAGTGAGAAAATCAACTCAAAGCCTGCTCATTTGTATTTCAACTATCAGTCTTTTAAAAAACAAAACAAGGTTAACAAGAAATTTACCTTGAGATCCCCTTCCTGGTGGCTACGGACAATGAATTTGGCGATGTCCCGAGAGATTATGTAGCCTGGACCATGGGCCCATGGTGGGTACATAGCATATGGCCATTCCTGCACAAAAGGAGACTCATAAGAAAAACAAAGTCAAAGTGAAACAAGCAAAATGCACTGTGCAGAATGAAATCCGATGTGAATACCCGGTTATCAATAAACCATTTGCTGCCTTTGTCCCTATCGGGTGAAGATTCAAAGGATATTCGACCATACAAGAGACCTTTGGTCGGCTTGCCCTTGAGGCTAGAGATCACTTCATCGATTCTAACAAAAGCATCATCATCTGTTTTCATGATATATTTAGCAGGATGGATTTTGGTCTGCATTTTTAAGATAAAATGATTGGTAACTTTTCTAACAATATATTTTCTAAAACAAATAAAAGTTCAATAACAAAAACGTAGTTATGAATCATGGATAATTTAGTTTGCAGAAATTTGTATCAACATACTCCAAAAATAGAAATTGCAATTGTCTTCAAACTGATCAGGCTGTAGTAATCAACAAATGGCATCAGTTGGATATCTCCATATGCTTCCGCTTCTCGCCACAGCTCAATATTGACTTGGCTGTTCTTGTGCTGCATGTATGAAAAAGTTGTAAACCTCATTATCGGCCAATTTTTCCGAGCAATCAATATGTTGATATCACAACTATAACACTATGTTGGAGTCAGAGGAGTTTGTTAAACGCAGAGATTATTTCACATCTTCAGGTTCATAATGTAAAAGAGTATAAGGAAAGCAATGAGCAGCAAGCTCTAAAGCTAAATAGCAGAAATTTCTTTTCACCCATATCTGTTCTGGAAACGGTTGGTTAAATTTCTATTTAAGCAAAAAATATAAGCAAACCACTCCCAGCCTGCAATGTTCAACTTACAAGGCCGATGAAAAACCGGACAGCCACATCTCCAGAACGCACAGCCTTGTACTGCATCCAAGCCCTCCTCAAAGCCATTCTACGCTCAAAATTATTTCCAGTAGAGAAAACTCCAACCAACATCAATAGTCTTTTCTTCGAAGTGGGCGGAGCTCTAAGGTGCTCAACATCAACAGCTAAATCATGATCCTCAGAAACAGGCAAGCCTTTTGCTAAGGCAGATAAGAGGTCCAGACCACCGGCCACTCTGACTTTGGAAACTGACCATGGCTCAAGTTTCTGCATATGAAAAGAAGTATTGTAGGCAGGTTGTATTGTTCTACAAAAACGGAATGTCTTGCAGAGCAATAAATTTTGTTCAATAAACTGTTATTAGCTTATTACCAATAATTCATACCTTACCTCCCTATACGCAAAAGATGTTTCGTGCCTTCCGTTCACAGTCAAGTGAAATCCCTCTAAACCAACCCAAAATGTGGCGGTAAAGGGATTTCCTTCAACAAATGGGAAATTGGAACCTTCATAGGCACCTCCAGAAACATTGGTCAACATGTCCCCACTAGGCTGACTCACATTTAGATTTTCTTCCGACGAGCTTCTCACAGCTTGTTCATTGCAAAGAACAAGTCCATCAACTGTCAAATTCGTTAAAATATGTTAGATTTCGAGCTGAAAAACCCCTTTAGAAATTTTTTTTATTTATTTCTAAAGGGACCTTCATTCTTACGTGACAGAAAATGAAAGCAGAAAATAACAAACAATCGAGATTTGACTATATTGGGAAACAGTGTTGTAAGTACCATTTTCGATTAACAAATAAGAAAGGTAAAATCTTACTAGAGTCGTTTATACCATGAGTTTATTTACATTTTTTACACAATGTTCTATATTTGGTTCAAATTTGAGCCATCACATGATAGGTAAATTGTGAGAATGTTCTAGCGAAGGAGTTGGAATTGACACTCTCAGTCCGAAGTCTAAACAGAAAATTTAGTTATTTACCTTTGAGGTTGCTAGGAGACCAGTGAGAAGGGCACCTTTCCTCTTTGCCCCACCCAAGTTCATGAGTCCATGTATTTTGAACTACAAATGGCTCCTGTGTCATGTTATCACCGGGAAGACTGACGTTGTAATGCAAGATAATAGGAGGCTCAGACTCTCCTAAAAGTTGGGAGCCTAGGAGTTGGATTTGAAAGCTTCTAGAGTGCCCATTAGGAATGCCAACCAAAGAAATGGAAGAATCATCAATGAGGCCACAAGGGATATCAAGTATATTCTCGTATCTTGACTCTATCTTGTCAAAAGTACTTACAGAGAAGGGGCAATTTTTGACTTCATCGTTATCACTTTTGTTTAATTTGGAAGCCCTGTCCTTGTCAATTGCAGACAACAAGTCTTTCCACGCAACGGAGGCCTCTTTAACCCCTTTAGCTGTTTCAGGCAAAGCATCGGACCTAGAGAGTAGGGTACGCATGTGAGGCCATACAAGCAAGGCCCTCGACCCTTCTTTGAAAATGTCATGTGAAGCAAAAAGATCATCCAGCCCATCAACTTCTACAAAATGGTGTTTCTTATATGGCTTTTCTCCTTTCTTCTCCGAATCCACAACAACAGAATCATTAGTTGTTGGATGGTTTCCAAAGAACTCAGCAGCCGACTGCTTAGGCGCCTGTGTTGGTGGCTCGATTTTGACAATGCTGGAATATCGAAAAACCAATATCATAGCAAGAAGTACGATTAACAAGCCCCCGGACCACTTCTTCATTTTCGTTAACCGGCGAATCTGATGCTTATACAAAACCCCCATGACACCTCTACTCCTATCCCCTCTTTCTATAAGCAGTAAACCCAAGTGAGCATCAAACCCAGTTCCCGAAATCTCATCTTCTCTCACATTCTTGCTAAAGTTTAGCTTGCACAATCACATTGAATGCTACTGTTCTTTCTTCAAAACCCAATAATACACAAAAATAAATAATTAAAAATCAAAACTTCAAAGGAAAAATTGCTCAAAAATCAAAACCCCAGAAAACCCAGAACTAAAAAATGTTACTAAAATTTTCCATCTTTCTGATGAGGATATAGATTCAGACTTTCAGTGTCACTATCAAGTATCTATCAGCGAAAATAAATGATTGCAACCTTAATGAAGCTGCTTCTATACAAGCTCAGAAGAAGCATTACCTTATATGGTGCTCCAGAAGTTGAGCTTTTCCAAATCTGATTCTCCAAAAAGCCAAAAGCACCAAAATTTGCTATCAAATCGTACTATAAATGCAAAAGTTGCAAGCTTTTAAGAAGGGTTGTTCTTGAAATGGAAAGCTAGGGTGACCTTAATGCAGTGAGAAAAATCGAGTTTCATATGCTGCAGATTCGGGGGGATTTCGATACGGCGTCGTCTTTAGGAGGTTCCCTTGTCAACGCACAGTTCGACGTTTTGTCTGGATTTTACAAAAGATGATTAATGTCTGATTAACAACATTGAGGTTGCCGGGTCATTATCCAGTGTGCTCAGGCGTGCCGATTATACTGTCGATTTTAATTTATTTTTTAGAGCTGTAGATTTGATTAGATTTAAATTGTTTAACTGTGTTTACAGATATAAGTTATGACAATTGGTCAATACATTGTGTTGTTTTTTGTGTTAAATTTCAAGTAGGTGGGTCATGGTCCACTCCAACAACAGCAATATTATTCCTACTTGGACACCTGCTCAATCCATCAAGTTTGGAGTTTATTGCAAAAGGCATTGGTATTAGTTAGAGTGGAGTAATTCTATTTAAAGGGTTTGTTCTCAAGCCTTCTGGCCGATATGGGATAGGGGAATTCTAACATTCCCCTGCATGTGAGACCCCATTTTATAGGTCACATGTGAAGTTCCACACATCAGCAACCACATAAAGCCAAGTCGGGGCCCAGTTATTTGCGTGGGGCCCAGTTATTTGTGTGGGGCCAATGGGGACCCACTCATTCACGTGGCATATCTTGGCCTACGTGGAGCCAAGTCGGGGCTTACCCATTCGCGCAGGGTCAAAGGGAATCCACTCATTCAAGTGGTAGTACGGGCCCGTCCCTTGACTCTGCTACCATCTTAAATTTCAGGTAGACAGGTCATGGGCCCACTCCAACAACATCGATACTGTCCCTACTTGACCACATGCTCAATCCGTCAAGTGTGGGGTTTTATCATAAAATGTCTCGGTGTTAGTTAAAGTGGGGTAATTCTATTTAAAGGGCTTGTTCTCAAGCCTTCTGCCCGATGTGGGACAGAGGAATTCTAACACTCCTTTGCACTTGAGACCCCATTGTATAGGTCACACGTGCAATTCCACACATCGGCAATCACGTGGAGCCAAGTTGGGGCTTACCCGTTCGCGCAGGGCCAATGGGGACCCACTCATTCACGTGGTATCTCTTGCCCTACGTGGAGCCAAGTCAGGGCTCATCCATTTACGTAGGGCCAAAGGGGACATTTCAGGTATACGAGCTATGGGCTCACTCAAACAATATAGATACTATCAGATCCTGACCCGGGCTCCACTACATCCCAGGCTCAACTCCGCCGTAGCATGATATTGTCCACTTTGAGCCCCGACCACGCCCTTAGGGTTTCGTTTGTGGGAACTCACACAAGAACTTCCTAGTGGTTCATCCATTTTGAGATTGCTTTCGCGTTAACTCGCTTAATTTCAGACTTCCGATGAACTCCAAAGCCAGTGAGTTCCTAAAAGGCCTCGTGCTATATGGATGTGGGAATGTATGTATAAGGCATAGAGGATCCTCTTCCCTGGGCAATGTGGGATCTAACACTCTACCCCTTTAAGGGCCCAAAGTCGTCGTCGGCACACTTTTGACCAGGGATTTACTCCGATACTAAATTGTCACATCCCGACCCAGGCTCGACTCCGCCGTAGCACGATATTGTCTGCTTTGTGCCCCGACCATACCTTCATGGTTTTGTTTCTGGGAATTCACACGAGAACTTCCTAGTGGATCACCCATCCTAGGATTGCTCTCGCGCGAACTCACTTAACTTCCGAGTTCCGATGAACTTCGAAGCCAGTGAGCTCCCAAAATGACTCGTGCTATATGGAGGTAGGCATGTACATATAAGGCATAGAGGATCATCTTCCCTGGGCGATGTGGGATCTAACAGATATTGTCCCCACTGCCATATGCTCAATCCGTCAAGTGTGAGGTTTTATCACAAAAGGTCTCGGTGATAGTTAGAGTGGGGTAATTTTATTTAAAGGACTTGTTCTCAAGCTTTCTAGTCGATGTGGGATAGATGAACTCTAACACTGCCCCACATGTGAAACCTCATTTTTATGCGTCACACGTGGAGTTCCATACATCGACAACCACGTGGAGCCAAGCCGGGGCTCACCCGTTCAAGCGGGGCCAATAGGGACCCACCCATTCACGTGGTATCTCTTGGTTTACATGGAGCCAAGTCGGGGCTCACCCATTCGCGCGGGATCAAAGGGGACCTACTATTCACGTGGCAGTACGGGTCCGTCCCTTGGCTTTGATACCATATTAAATTTCAGGTAGACAAGCTGAGAGTCCACTCCAACAATACCGATACTGTCCTCACTTGGCCACCTGCTCAATCTGTTAGGTGTGAGGTTTTATTGCGAAAGGCATATGTGTTAGTTAGAGTGGAGTAATTCTATTTAAACTGATTTTTTTCTTTCCCTTTGTCCAATGTGGGACAATGGATTCCAACTCTCCCCCGCACGTGAGACCCCATTTTATGGGTCACACTTGGAGTTCCACACATCAGCAACCACGTGGAGCCAAGTTGGGGCTCACTCGTTCACGCGGGGCCAATAAGAACCCACCCATTCACGTGGTATCTCTTGACCTACGTGGAGCCAAGTCAGGGCTCACCCATTCGCGTGAGGCCAAAGGAGACCCACCCATTCACGTGGTAGTACGAGTCCGTCCTCTGGCTCTGATACCATCTTAAATTTCAGGTGGACAGGCTATGGGCCTACTTCAACAACACTGACATTGTCCCCACTTGGCCACCTACTTAATCCGTCATGTTTGGGGTTTTATTACAAAATGCCTCGATGTTAGTTAGAGTGGGGCAATTCTATTTAAAGGGCTTGTTCTCAAGCCTTCTGGGCGATGTGGGACGAAGGAATTCTAACAGTTTGCACTTATATTTAAATCTCCTTCTCAAGTTGTAAAGCATGTATTTGTACTCCCGGTGAATTGTTGGTCCCACCATACTTTAAAATGTTGCTTATGCCAATTTAGTTTGTTTTCTTTAAGAATGATAAAAGAAAAAAATTCATATTACTGATGATGGCTTGATAACCATTTTATTTTGAGTTTCTATTTTTGGAATAGAGAGAGGAAAATACAATGGGAAAACGAAAGATATAGAATAGGAATTAGGGATGGGCATGGTTATGGCGGGCGGGTAACCGATGTTATTTACCTATAACCGTTTATATTCATACCCACATAACCGTTTATGCTCACACCCATTCACGTGGAGCCGTTTATAAACAGTTATGAGTATGAGTATAACCGTTTATGCTCATACTCATAACCGTTAATAAACGGCTAACCATACCCATAACCGTATACCCATTTAACCATAACCATTTACCCGTTTATCCTTTTTTTACCCATTTTTTCACCCATTCACATGTTTTTTTTTAACAACTTGAAAATTACAAAAGAAAAAATTTGTCATAATTTTTGTTTTCTGACAATTAAACACCGTTATAGGTATATTTTAGCATGCATTTCCCTATTTTAATCATTTAAGGCCTCATACAATTCCAATAATTAAAATAATAGTTTATGAACGATATTTTTCTACTACACCCAAGCAAGTCTTTAATTATAATACATATGATTACAAAGTAAAGCTTTTAAAAACAAAAAGTAGTCATTATTTTGAATACTAGATGATTCAAAACTCCAAAAATATTCCGAAACTAAACACTTTTGAACACTAATGCTTTAGCACGTTCAATCACAAAGTCTCATCGACTCATTGTCACTAAAAGAAGCCTACAAAAGAAATGTATACATTGAATTAGTATCCCATTTAGGAACACCGACACCAATTAACATGAATCCAACAGAGGTAAGTGATCATAGAAGGTTTACATTGTACACTTAGTTATCAGAAAAACAAAAAAAAAAAAAAAAAAAAAAGTAAACAAAAGCGATCCTTAGTCCTTCTCCTCTCTAATAGATATATCTTTAGCACCTACAAAGGGAAGGTCCTAATGATCGTCAACGTCCCATCGTAGTGGTACACAATATCTTCTATTTTCTTTGTGAGTGTACAACATTCATATACACACATTAAATGGGTAAATGGATACTGGTTATAATCGCAGGTAATACCCATAACCGATGGATACCTGTTATAACCGCAAGTAATACTCATAACTGCCTATTTAAATTTCACGGATAAACCGTTTGCTCATCTAAACGGTTACCCATAACCATTGCCGTGAACTTTAAATGGACGGAAAACCACGATTACCCAAACCCATGGGTATTTTGCCCCTCCCTAATAGAAATGATAGGGGTAGAGATGTAGAAGAAATATATAAAGAAAGTGTACAATTTAAGTTTCAACTCGCTTTTTAAATTAGCGTAAAATGGTTACCTTGATAAGAGGACATATATATATATATATATATATTTTTTTTTTTTTTTTTTTTTGAGTCAATAATATTTTACTTTATTATAAACTAAGTGGAAATTTTGAACGCGATTCGAGTTTGAGTGTAGAGATGAGTACACTTTTAAAGTTAACTTATTTGTGACTAAATTTCTTTTTTTTAGAAGAAATTCTAAATTACGTGAAAAATATTTTAAACTCCAGATAGTAAAATATGGAGCGTACATGTTACATTAATTACAATGTTCAATTAGCAACTACAATAATTTGAGGGACCCGTGCTGTAAAAACGTGTTTCCATTAGAATTATTGCTTGTTTTTGTTGTAAATGTGTTCCAGTTTACCACATCTACGTCGGACGAGGAGGGAACCAAATGCAAGACCTCAAACGCAAAGCAGTCCGTACTGGAGAAGTAAATGTTATAACTACTCATTATTTGTTTTTTAAGCTTCTCCGGCTCATCAGCTTCTTTTCTCCGCCTCTAAAGACCAAACTTTCTCTTGGATGATCTCGCAAGGTTGAACCGAATCGATCTTTCATGTAAAAGAAAAATCGATCTGTGTTGAAAACACATCAAAAAATGGGAAACCACGAGTGTTTAGAAAGAACAAGGTAACTACTTGCTTCAGATTTACGTTCATAAAGCATGATATTAAGCAGCAAACTCCGCCCTGAAATCGGAACTGCAAAATACACAGGGAGAGGGGCCAATTTTCAGCATCCTAATATCAAAGCATCTCAAGACGTGGAGGCATCCAGTAACGACTGTTCAAAAAACAGTTCTAATGCAACAATGATCGGTTTTCAATCTCCGCCGGTGTCAAATGGAGTTCAAACTTTAAAAGTACGTACTTGATGTCCACGTCAAATGCTTAGCTAAATTGATTCTCTCTGGCCTTCCAAAAATGAGGCGGCAAAAAACCCAAAAAACGCACCTGTTCAAGCACACAAATGAACGGAAAAAAAGCATTGTGAGCAGTCTTGCATCTTGCAGGATATATACTGATATGATTAAGAACAGAAAAGGGAAGAAGAACAAAGGAGAAGGTAGTATTCATTACCTGCTAATGTTCTTCAGCGCCTATAAGCCCAGCTTCGAGCACACATTAAGGCATTCATCAAGTCCGGCTTCAAGCAAATCATATGTTCATCAGCTGGCCTTGATAAAGTGTAGTATGCCTCGCCACAAGTCGAAAGAGAAACTGGAATGGCCAGAAAATCACGTGCCATCCGAGAAAGGGTGGGGTACTTAGGTGCTGCACTTCTCCACCAAGCCAATGGATTAAAATCCTGACTCCAAGGCAAGACAGGTTGGTCCAAATATATATCCAATTCTGATATTTTTGCAGGGTGATGATTCGATTGGATAAACTGCTGGTAGTCTTGCAACACAGTGAAAGTATGATTGGCACGTACAAGAGGATCGGACTGCCCTTCTGAATGTGAATAACTCGCACGGTTCCTTTTTTCAGGAAAACGGATCACGTATTCATCAAACTGTTTGCGAATGGCATCCAAAACAGCTGGAACTTGTGAGTTTCCGTCCCTACCCTCAACTTTTGAACAAACAAATTCAATATATCTCATCTTGAATCGAGGATCCAGTGCTGCAGATATTGCCAACAGCAAGAACATGTGATCCCAGTACTCGTCAACCTTTCCCAACATGCCCTCAACTATTGACCTATTAAAACCCTCTGAGCCAATGGACATTCGGGTCAACATTTCACGAAGCTCATGAAGGTGATAAAGATAAACATTAGCAGTTACTTGTATTTCTGGTTCAAATAATGCTCCTGATACTTCATGTATGCTCTCTACAGCTTTACAAACACCTTCAACTTTGTTCCATTCCTCTGGGGATGGTACGTCGTGAGAGTCAATCACATCCTTGGAAGAGAGTTTTCCAATAGACCACAATTTCAGAGCTTCTTGTAGATTGGCCATTTTGAGAAACCACATGGGGTAATCAGTTGTAAAAGTATACACTCGACGGACCTTGTGAACGATATCTTCAATCTTGTCAAATGCATCCTGCACCATTTCACGGAACAGATCCCCACAACAATACACACGAAACAGCTGACTATTACGTCGGAGTTCCTTCTGTACCTGGATGTACCTTTTCACATACCCAGCCACCTCATTACAGAACTTATCATTACCCATAGTGAGTGTGAATATCTTGTTCTCAATGCCCCAATCTTCCAGCGACCTAAATATGCCCCGATCTTCACATTTTTTAAGTAAATCATCAGACTGGCCCGAAACCGAAAGAGTACAGAAGTAAAGAACCCACTTTCGCAACTTCCATTTCTCATCAATAAAATGCGCGGAAATGCACAAATAATCACTGTAGTGTTGTCCCAAGTTATTGCTGCACTGCCCAAAGTCATTGTTGTCCGTGAGTACGTCCACAGAGAGGCTAATCTGTCCATCAAAGTTTCTTAATACTTTCTTAGTTTCCACTTTCATTCTCTCATATTCTTCCATGCATTCACTTTCAACCTCATTGAAAGTAGGCTTAAACAGCTGGTTAAACACGCCAATTGACTGTATGTAATCAACATTTTCAAAATACTTGGGTGGATCCTGGTTAGAGCAAATCCACTGTCCAAGAGCCCTCAAATCCTGTCTTGGATCGTATTCACGTACCTTCACATTGCCCCTTGTAACTGAAACTGATGAAGAGGATTTGGCATCCTTGCTATCACCACTGTTGTCACTTTCATTGGTTCCAGAAACCCCAGGCATATCTGAAAAACAGGAGATTATTAGTACCATATCAAACCCATCATTCTTTCTACTAATTAACGTATGACATCTATTCATTCTGTGTTATGGAGTTAAAGTACTTAAAAAACGTAATCTTGGTGCAGAATCGTGGATACCCCATCAACAATACAACCAAAAATCTTACAGTGAATTCATAACAGCAGAAGCTTTATTCACAAGGATACAAATAGACTAGAAAATGACCCAGATACGTCTAAGCCCAGCCAGAAAAAGATTAACAGCACCATAGCTAGTGTTATAAAAGTCCCCACCTAGCGCACTTAGGTGCTAGGCAGCTTGTCACCATCATGATTAATCACTAAGCGCTTAAAAAATAAGAAAGGCCGCCTAGATTCATGTATAAAATCTATTTCTCTTTCGTGTTTCGAGTTGAACCATTGAAGTACTAAATTCTTACTTTAAATTCTTGGGGCACAATCAGGGATAATCATTAACCATATAACCAAGAATCTTACTTTAAATTCTGAAAAACATAATTCTAATATTCACCCACCAAACTGTGAACTCAAAGATCACAAATAAAATATAAAAAAAACACAAAATACACAAAAAAATTGACAATATTAGTAAACAAAAACACAAGATTTCCAAGTTAAATTACTACAAAACAACCAAAAAAGTAATCTTGGCGCACAATCATGGAAACGCATTAACAATATAGTAAAAATATTACACAAGAGATCGTAAAAATTGAATATTTATTCGCCCACTAAAGATAATACAAAGATGACCACAAAAAACTACAATATTGGTAAATGAAAAAGCACGAAAACGGCAGAAAAGACCAGACCCTCAGAACCAAAAAGAAGAATAAAACGCAGAAAGCACAGCACGGAACGACATCACAGGAAGAGAAGTGTACGAAATCGGTAATTCAAACGTCGATTTTGATAGATGAACAGTAAAGGTGAAATCTTGAGTGGAGGACGAAGACGAACCTCGTCCGCGTCGAGTCGCAGTCGCTCAAGGGATTTTGGGGTTGTGGGAAATTGAGTAGACACTAGAGTCCAGACAGGGAGAGAAAGACGGAGCGTATGAATAGCTTAGCGGGAAAGTTAAAAAAAAAACACCATCGGAGCCGTACACGTGGCAGGGTTATTGATAAGACAGGTCTTAATGTTTGCTTTTTGGTGTACAGGACAAAGTGACTTTTCGTTTTCTCGTTTCTCTCGATCGCTCGCTTCACATTTGGAAGTCTTTTAGACTACGCACTGATTTGGTACTGAGATGTTTTTATAAAAAATGAGTATAAAAAAAGTTGAACTTAAAAAGGTGTTTAGTAAACACTTAAAAATAATACATTTTCACAGTTTTAGGTGAAAAAAACTGAAAACGTGAAGCAGTAAAAATGAGTTTATTCTCACTACACAGCATAAGTAGTTTTTTTTTCAAAGCACAGTAATACCAAACCTGCCCGACATCCTAATGAATTCGGATTCTTGTAGGATCCTTTTTGTGAGGATCTTAGAAATTCGTGAATTATGTTCGTTCATCGGACATTATGCGATTATAAATTATTTTAAATATTTTTATTTAAAATTAAACACAAACAGTACATGATAAAAATTGATCGTACAATATATGATGAGCAGACACAATTTACGAATTTATAAAACCCTCACCAGAAAGATCCGGAGAGGATCCTGGTGGCATCCTAATGGTGTCTTTATTTTATTTTTCTTAACGTTTTACTTGTTAGAAATAAATCAAGTTTGAAATGAACTGAAATTTAACTAAACGAGACACTGTCACATAATTTAAAAATTAAAATTTAGGGAGATGTATTGTATATGAAGCTTGATGGATTTTGCTTGACTTTTTGGTTTAGGTATATTCAATATAAACCTGTAAGGAGTTTGTAAAAATCATTTTGTATTGAATAAAGATAAATGTTATGAAAACTTTTTCAAAAGTGGAACTTTTCATTGACTTTTTATCACCTCATGTTTTTATAATAATATTTTATTATATTGAAATGAGAATCGACGTTAAACGATAAGACGACAGAAAATCTATAAAAAATCTCTTAAAAGTCTCTTTAGCAACTTTTTATGACTTCTAACTTGTAAGTCTGTAAAAGTCTTTGTAATAATTAAGTATTGACTTGAACAAAACTTTTCTGTAACTTACAAAGAAACTTCATTCTTGATAAATATTTCTTTACAAAGTTCTGACTATAATGAGCATGAGGATACATTTTGACAATGACCATAACGGACTCTGAAGAGGAACTGACTATGAACCAATTCATGTTCATACCACTATGAATTTTCTGCGCAATACAATCAACAAAGATATTAATTCCAACAAAGTGGACCCAAAGAAACCGATAACACACCAACACAAAATTTAATACTCACGAAGAGAGACTCATAAACAACTTCACCAAGAGACACTTATTGACGGAAATACTAAGATGAAAAATACATAAATAAAATTCCATAAGAAGATAAAGGAGAAAGGCTAGAAAAATAGAAAGAGTTGCCACCAGCCCTAAGCTGGAGCAAAGGGACGACGGCTATGAAGTTTGTAGATTTAAGGTTTGATAAGAGGAAGGAGAGAGAGAACCAAGAATGAGAAGCTTCTGGTAACGGATGATATTTGTGGTTGATAATCATGAGGCATTGATAACCAATACTTGTATGGATCGATACATAGTTGATGATCCAATGGCGATTACTATTCTACTCTAGGCCTTAAATGATGTCTAGCATTAAAATAAATTTTAATTACTTGTTAAAAAGACCAAATTACTTATTAAGCTTAATGATACACCAAACGTGGCCTAAGGGAAATAGTTGACCCCGTTGGATTCAATGGTAAAATTAACGAAGCACGCCATATACTTGTGTAATTTAGAATTTTTCGAAAACATTTTGTTGAGACACGTCCATTTTTGTCCTCATGAACAAGTCAAATAACCAATATTTCCAACGTAATTGCAATTCTACATATTAATTAAGAACAATGCTATTCACACACGCATTATACCTCTCATATCTCTTTCAAATTCTAACCGTCAAATCGATTGAATTGAAGAAGATCAATGGTAAAAAAATTAATAAAGATGTGTGAAAGGTAAAAAGATGTGCGCGAATAGCACTATCCTTGATTACGCACACACAAATACAAGAAATAAGGTAAGCAATCTCAACTTGATGCATATTAAACCATCTCCAGCCATAAAGTTAACCAGTTCTCACCATCCAAGGGGAACAAGTTCACAAACAATTGCAAGTTACAACCAAAAACAAAAGGAGATGTTCAATCTCTCTAGCGGAGTTCAGAAAAGTCTTCCAAAATAGAGGTCATCACAAAAGCCAAGTACCTGTTCATGTCATCAAATGCTGAAAAATGGAACAGAAAAATAAAAACATAAGAAACATCATCCGGGAGAATATAGCAAGCAAAAAAAAATATTAAAAACGGCAATTAAAACAAAGGAACACAGAAGGAAGCTTGAGGTGTAAGTTACCTGTTAACATTCTTCCATGCCTACTAGACAAGCTTCGATCGGGTGAATAATAAGGCATTTGCCAAGCCTGGCTCCAAGCCAACTAAATTTTTCTTTGCTGGCCTTGGTTCAATGTAGAATGCCTCATATGAAGTTGCAATAGAAAATGGAATGGCCAAAAATTCGCGTGCCATCTTGGAAAGAGTAGGATACCGGGCAGCTGCGGTTTTCCACCAAGCCAATGCAGTGAAATTCTGACTCCAAGGCACAACAGCTTCTCCCAAATAGCGATCCAAGTCTGATCCTACTGAAGGGTAATTATTCATTTGCACGTCCAGCGAATATTTATCAAACAATTTGTGAATGGCCTCCAAAACAGCTGCAACTCGTGAGCCTCCCTCTGCACCCTTAACTTTTGAACAAACAGTTTCTACAAATTGCATCTTTAACCGAGGATCCAGTACTCCAGCTATTGCCAAATGCAAAAACATGTCGTTCACATACTTGTCAAGCTTACTCAGCATGCCCTCAGCTATTTTTCTAGTAAAACCGTCTGAGTCATTGTGCATTTGGGTCAGAAAATCGCGAAGCTCATCAAGGCGACAAAGATAAACATTCGCAGTTAGATCTTTTGTTTCAAACAATGCATTTGATACTATATATACGCTCTCCAAAACTTTGCAAACACCTTCAACTTTCTTCCATTCCTCAGTGGATGGTACTTCGTAAAAAGTCTCATCTACCGAGGAGAATTCTCCCTTAGACCATAACTCCAGAGCTTCTTTAAGCTTGCTACTAGTGAGATACCACAATGGTAAATTTGCAACAGAATACAACGGGTCAACTTTGTTAATGATATCTTGAATCTTTTGAAACGCACCATTCACCATTTCGCCAATTAATTCCCCACAACAATACACGCGAAACAGCTGACCATCAAGTTGGAGTTCTTTCTTTTCTTGGATCCGACCCTTCACAAATCCAGCTAACTCATTATACACACCATCAGTGGTCATAGTGAGTGTGGATACCTTGTCCTCAATGCCCCATTTCTTAAGAGAACTAAAAATGCCCCAATCTTCGTCTTCAGGAAGGAGATTATTGGTATCTTCAAGAGAACGGAAATAAACCTGCTGCTTTTTCAGCTCCCATTTCTCATCAACAAAATGTGCAGAAAGGCATAGATAACGATCAAAGTTTTTTTCGTTCATCATAATGTCCACCGACAGGCTAATCTGCCCGTCAAATTTCTTCAAGATTTCTTTGGTACCCATTATCTTCTGTTCAGAAACCAAAAGCTCAATTAGTAGTCAGGAAAACCCCCACACTTTCTAAGAAACACAAAATAATTAGAAACTTAGAAACCCCATCCTTTTACTAATAATTCAAGCATGTCATCTAATTGTCTTGCTTTATGGAACTAACCCTATGTTTGGATGACGGAATTTTTAAAGTTTCTTGACTCAATTGTCAAATATGCACTACATAAACACTATCAATGAACTACTCGTGCACAAAAAACCTACAACAAAAACTTTACAAATGCACTAAACACATAATTTTCGAATGACTCCTTTACTCTCGTATGTATTCATCTAATCATTTTTGAGACCCTAAAAACAAAACCAACTTTTCAAACACAAGAAATAGCTTCTAATTTTTGGTCCGTTGTCAAACAATGTTTCAGTTTTCCATTTTTTAGTAGAAACTAAAAACAAAATGTTATCAAACGAACCCTAAAATCTTCATCCTTTGTTTTTCAAAGTAATTACTTCTAAAGTCCATGCGCTTCTCCATAAAACCAATTAAAGTGATTTTATTTTCATTTAAAACACTTTCAAATTTGTTTCCAAACGCTCAAAGCACACTCAAAAAGTAAAATTTGAGTATTTTCATGGAAACCCATTAACAAAATTACCAAAAATCTGATCATAAAAATATTATAACGAAAAAAGAAATTATACAAATATGCTAATTGGTATATAAAAAGACAGAATAATCCTGACCCAAACAAAAAAGTGAAGCACAAAAAGCATAAAAAAGGAATTAGATTACATGAAGCAAAATATGCGTGATTAATATTTGAAACATTTAATTGATAATATCTCCCAAAGAATGTATTCTGATAAGAAAGTATTAAAAAGGTACAATTTTGAGGAGAAATCTAACCTCGTTAGGTACGGCGGTGGTCGGAGTCGTGAGAACAGGAGTCGCCGGATGGAAAAAGGAGAAAGAAGAGGCACACAGGAATTTAGGGCCTTCTCCCAGAAGAGGAAGAGACCGGTGCGAGAGAAACACAGTATACAGGTCGGCTGTGTAACGATCATT